GAGCACCGACGCGAGCGGCACGGCGGTGGCGGCGAGCTGCTGCCCCTCGGGGAAGATGCCCCGCTGCTCCATCCCCGGCCGCGCGTGCTCGAGCAGCATCTCGCACGTGTAGAGCAGAATCCACGCCGCCCCGCCCCGCGCCCCGCCGCCCTTCTCGCCGCGGCCGATGGCGGTGACGGGGAGGATGCTGTCTTCGCTCGCCGACGCGTTGAAGCAGAAGTAGGTGTGCGCCCCAAAGGCGCGCGCCGCCTCGGCCTCCTCCGCCGCGTGCGCCTCGCCCGCGCGCGCGAGCCGCTCGACGGCGCCGAGCAGGCTCTCGACGTGCAGCGCTTGCGACATGTGGCAGAGCGGCGCAAAGTACGGGGCGGGCAGCGCGGTGAAGCGCGAGTCGTCCGCGCGCTCGCCGAGCGTCGGGTCGAGCGTGACCATGCCGAGGCCGTCGAGGGTGGCGGCCGCGAAGATCTCGCGCCCGCGCACCGGCTTGAGCACGAGCTCCGAGCCGGCGGGCGGCTGGTTGAGGGCCCGGAGCCGCTCGAGCTTCGCCGCGGAGGAGGCGAGGACGATGGCCTTGCCGCCCGCGCCTGCACTCTCCGGCACGCCAGACTCGAAGGTGAATGGCGCCTCGGCGCCGCTCTTGACGTCGCGCGTTGCGAGCAGCTGCCACTCCACCTGGCAGCAGCAGCGGAGCAGCATGCCCGCGGCGACGGCCGAGTCGGGCGCGCCCAGCAGGGCGACCACCCGCTCCGCGTGTCTCGCGGTGAGCGCCGCCGCGTCGGCGAGGCCGAGCTCGCTCAGCTCCTTGGCCGTCATCTCGCCCACGGACGGCGCCGCCGCCGGCAGCAGGTTCGCTGGCTTGACCTGGATCGTGCTTCTTCCCTGGCTTCCCTGGCTGAGCGCGACATTCAGCCGTCCCTTGGCCGCGTCGTACCCGAGCACCGTCACCCGCTGCCCGTTGAGCTCTGGCCGGCTCTTGAGTCCCGTCAGCACGAGCCGCGTGCCAGCCTCAAAGGGCGGCGGCGGAGCGGCCGCAGCTGGCTGCGGCTGGGCGGCGGCCGCGGGCGGCGGCGGCTGGGCGGCGGCGGGTGCCCGCGGTGCGGATGGAGGCGCGAGTGCTCGACGTCGACGCAGCACGAAAATCAAGGCGCAGGCCGCCAGCCCAGCAAGGGCCGCGGCCGAAACAGCAACCTCTCGGCGGCGCGACATACGCTCCGGCTGCCGAGAGCGCGCCAGAGCGCCGCAAGTCAAGATGCACCGCGCATTTCTTGTGCGGCGTCTCAAACAAAGGCCGAGGCGAGCAATCGAAGTGTCAAAGGATGAAAACAGCAGACGGGAGGGCCCTCGCAGCAGCCGGGGCCGAATCCTGCAGCCTTAGTCTTGGCCCGATCCGGCGGCATGCCACGCACGGGTAGGCGCGTTGAGGCTGGCCTCCTCCTCTGCGCCAACGCGGCTTGTGCCGCAGCTTGCGTTTGCTGCCAGACAAGAGGAGGAGCAGGGCCGTTTGGCGATAGGGCCTGTTCACGCGCTTCAGTGAGTCCAAAGTGAGTTTATGACTGGCTTCATTCAGGGCCACGGCGACCGCCCGCGCTGGACGCGGCTGCAGAGTGTTCACGCGCGCGCGAGACGTGCAGACAGGGTTGCCAGGTGACTAAATCTCTCTCTCTCTCTCTACCTCCTCCTGGAAAAGTTATTTAGGAGCACCCCCCTACCGCCGCCCAGTACGTGCTCCGCAGCTGAGCCCACGCACCCCACAGCAGCTCAGGGACACAATTAGCTCGCATACGAGTGCTGGTACGCACAGCTCGACGCGTACTCGAATGCTGCCACTGTCATTCTAGCCGGCGAGCGGCGGCGTCACAGCGTCGACTCTCGCATCGCGATGAGACGCACTGCTTGCCCAGACGCGCGCCTTGGCGCGCTCCTGTGGGGCAGGAGGAAGGCCAGCGGTTGTGCTGCGCAGGCCCGGCCGTCTGGCTGAAGGGAGCAGCAGCTGGCGCTCAACAGCAGCGCTGTCGAGCAGCGCAGCCACACCACACTCCCGCCAAGCCACGTGTCATTTCCCGCCAAGATTTGGCGCCAAAATGGCACTTTAGTGTCCACCTAGCCACGTGGTCGCGGCCTGAAGCTCCAAGCTTCTGGGAGTGAGGTCCCACATCACAGGGCTCCATTTGGCTCAGTTGGAGGCACCGTCCAATCGTTCGCCGATGTCCGAACCGGGGTGCTCCTATATAACTTTTCCAGGTGGAGGAGATATACAAGGAAGGGACCACAATCTGCAACAGTGCAGTGAGGAGTTCCTCTTGGGGGAGGCCCTAGATAGAGGGTACCCATGCGGGGGGGAGATGGGGTACCATGGCCCGCCGCAGGCGCCGAAATTTTCGGGATTTTTTCTCCTTGCGCGATTTTTCACTTGTTTTCAGTGTATGTGGCTCTTACGAACATACCCAAGGGTGGACTGCTGACAGGCACAGGGTTTTCACGGGAATTCGGCGTACTTGCGGCCATGCTATCACGCCTTGCGACAGCCTGTCGGCGCTGCTGACCGTGCCCTGCTGCGCAATTGACCACCTGCATAGCTCGCGGCCTTAGTATCAAGCATTCAGTGACGACCTGATCGTACGGCCAGTAGGAAGGTGTCCTTCCAGCCGCGTGCACGCTTCTGACGCAATGCGCGTCACAAACTGCCTCGGGTTGGCTGCTGGCACTCTCGAGGCTATGGCTACACAGCCTCGCGCGCATGGGCAGTCAAGAGGGACCATGCACCTTCTAAGGACCGCGCCGGCGCCTCTCTCTTGGACCGGCAAACACGTGGTGGTCTCGTGTCACCGATGTGGGACCAGTGCGGCATGTCGCGCCAGCCATCCACAGCTCTGAACTGCGCCTCACCACTGACCGGGAAGGCCGCCAAGTGGGCCAGCACCGGTCGCACATTGTGGCAGCAGTCAGTAGTGCATGTCTGATAGCTAGAGCAGCAGCGTCAGGGTCGCAGGGTCGGATCGTGTCAAGCCTCTCGCCCGGCCGGCCGCGTACAGACGTCGGCCTGTCGGTGCTGTCTGCAGTGTTCTGTCGGCGGTCAGTGACCGATCAGGTCGGAGTTTTCTGATGGTTGGAGGGTCTATCTGTATGTACTCCTCGAGATCTTTCCAAATCTGCCCTCTGATTAACCTAGCTTAATCGGGAAGTCGGTGCTCTAAGCGACTCTGAGCGCCGGAGCCCCGTTTTTCCGCACTGCTGTGCGGCGCACGGTGCCTCCGGGCGCCCCCGCCTCCCCGCCCCCAAGAGTGGAGTTCAGGCCTGGGCCCGAGCCCCTAGGGCGACAAGACATGCGCAGAGGGCGGTGAAGCGCGGTGGGGGGCCGAAGTCGAAGACGAAGAGAACGAGGCTGAGAGTAACTCCGCAGCAGAGCCCGAAGACTCGCAGCGATCCCGGATCGGGGGGGGGGGGGGGGGGCGTGCTAACCACCCCAGAGGTGGGGCAGTGAGCGGAGGCCTGCTGAGCCGAGTGGAGGCGGCGGCCTGCCAAGTGGTCAGAGAGGGAATGGGGCACACTAGTCGAGGTAGATGGGTGACGCCTGGGTTGATCCGTTGGGTGGGATAGTGCTGCACCGACCCGAAGGGGTCGGTATGCGGAGGTACCCCACGGCAGGCCACCAGTGCCGCTGCCTCCTCCAGTCCTCCTTCTTCTCCTCCTCCTCCGGCCCTCCATCCAGCGGCCCCGCCGCCCACAGTGGGAGGTGCCACTGAGGAAGAAGAAAAAACTGAGGCCGCAGCGATCTCAACAGTGCGTAAGAGGCCGTGTATAGGAGAAGCACGGGCGCAGGATAGAAGAAGAAATGCTCCATGGGTTTTTCGAAAAATCGCCTCGGCTTGGTCGAATTGGCACCGAGAGAGCACGATGCGCGATGCGGCTATGCACATGTCTCTCGTCCTTCTCGTGGCGTTCACGGACCGCTCAGTCTCGTACACGTCTTCTCGCCACCTCCAGCACAAACCTTCCACGCCAGCAGCAGTGATGATGGTCGAGCGACGAGTCGGCGACAGCGAAAACAGCGACGACGACGAATTGATTTCCTATGAGGACTGGGACCTGGCATGGAAGCGGCATGCGCTGGGCAGCATCATCGAGGCGTATGAGGTGATCGAGGTGGAATCTGATGCAGATGAGACCTCGTGCCGCGACAGTGCTGAGGCTGGACGAACCGCCGCCATTCGGGAGTTCCTGCAAACGCTTCAGATCTGCTCATTCGCGACGCTACTGGTCTGGTCCTACACAATAGCGACGGGTGGCCTCCTCCTCCTCCCCACACAAGGTGCTGGAGTCGCCCTCTACCACCTCCGGGATGTCGCTGGTGGAGACCAGCTGACGCAGATTGGAACCTACTAGCGGAGATCTGGCCGTGTGTCAAGTCGCAACCAAGTTCTAACCATCCTCTCGTTGTAGTCCTTTTCGACCCAACACGCGGGATCGTTTACCAATTTCCCGGTTCACTACACACTAGTGTTTTTCGTGTGTGTGATAGGGCCTTAGGCGTGTGTTTCCCCCACAGCCCACACACGCCACACACGCTGGCCGGGTGCTGGCGCCTGGCCCCCCCCACGGCCCACGGCCACAGCCCACGCAGGCCCCAGCGCTGCTGCTCCTCTGCGCTGCCCCTCTGCTCTCTCGTCTCTGCTGCTGCGCCCGGGACACGCACCACACACTCTCGCGCGCGAGAAGAGAGGGTATCAAAACCTGGGTCTGGCTCTGGAGGTGTGTCTCTCCGACGACCGACACCCTCTCCAGATGTCAGTACTCTCTCTCCCACACAACCTTGCACGCAAGTCAAACGCAGCTCGTACGCTGTACTCTGTATGTACACAGCACCAACCCAGCCGCGCGCGTGGTCCCGTGCTGCCCACTCCCTCAGTCTGGTCGGCCGCTCCTCGCTGTGGGCGAGAGGGGGGGGAGGAGGAGGGCTAGCGCGCACGCTCCTCGCTTCCTCGCGGCCGAAGGTGCCCAGCGCTCTACTTCTTGCGCGCATCGTCGAGCGCGTCCTTGATCTGGCCGGCCTGCTGCTCGAGCAGCTGCTTCCGCGCCTCCTTTTGCGAGCGGAAGGGCGCACGCACGGCGAACGGCGCCCTGAGCTTCTCCTCGATCGCCTCGCGCGTCGCGGTGGCGGGCGAAGCCCCGGCCTCCCGCGGCCTCGTATACGGCACCTGCTCCGACGCCACCGCCTCCTGGCTCCAAGTGCCATACAGCACCTGCTCGGCCGGCGACTCTTCGTCCAGCAGCTCGCCCATCGAGCGGACCATGTCGCCGACGGAGCGGACGGCGCCCATGGAGTCGTCCATGAAGGGGAACTGCAGCTTTTGCGCGAAGCTCAGCGTCTGCGGGAAGGCGGCGGCGGGGAGCAAGCCCGTGCCGGCCGCCACCGCGTGCGTGGTGCTGTCGAAGAGCTCAACCGACGCGGGGCTGTTTGGCGAGTCGATGAAGGCCTGGAAGACTTCGGCCTCCATCGGGGCCTTCGTCTCCCACAGCGTGAAGACCGACCCGCCACCCTCTCCGCCGGCGGGCAGCAGCAGATGGTTGTGCAGCTGCGCCGGGTGCGGCGAGGTGAGGCGGCCGGCGTTGCGCACGCGGTCACAGAGCGCCTCGGCGGCGCCCTCGGCGAGTGGCACGTGCCGCACTAGAAAGTACGAGCCCGTCGTCTCGGCGGCCAGCGGCGGCGGCGGAGCGTCGCCGTCCTGCAGCTCCGCCGCCTTGCGTGCGACCGCGTGGCGGTTGAGGTCCTTGCGGGCGTCGACGCGGAGGAGGATGGCCTGCCGCGCAAAGGAGGGGTGCCGCGCGAGCACCTCCGAGGACGAGGTCGGCCATGCGGACGGCGGTGTCGTCGCCGGCGGCAGCAGCGGCGAGAGCGTGGTGATGGGGAGAGGCGTCCCAGTCTCGGCGTGCCTGGGAGGGGAGGGAGCGAGTGTGTGTTGTCCGGCGCGGTCTAGCACGTGACTAGTTGACTCTCAACATAGCCATACTCAGCCAGCGCGCGCCTCCGCTCAAACTCGTCGCGCGTGAGCGGCTCGGCGGTCTCGTAGAGGGAGAGGATCGGGCCGACGGTGCCGGTCGGGAGGAAGTAGTGCGTAAATAGGCCTGACGATACATGTGGCGTGGACGTGATTGGAGACATGCACGAGAGGCTGCACGAGGGTTCCTCTTGGGCGCTCGCTCTGGCTCACCGGCATCGTGCTGAGCCAAAGCCATTTTGTCAAACCGAATGTCCGCTATATCCGTCCACCTGGTGGCGAGACGGGGATGTAGAGTGCAGCCTGTTCTTAGGGCAGGGGCAGTGGAGGGGCGCAGACCAGTCCAAGGCGACCTCTTCGTCGCTTTCGAGAAGGTCGTGGTACACGAGCCAGAAATTGCCAGCCATGGCGGGCGGACGCGCGCGTGGCGCGATATTCGGTGACGGAACGCGCGGCGCGAACAGCGAGCGTGCGTGCAAAAGGATCATCACGAGAGGTGTGAGCTGGGTGGCCGAGCCTCGAAATCATCAGTTTTGGGTGCGGATGCGGTGCCATCCTAAAAATGAAGCAAGTTCGGGATTTCAAGGAGGAGTGTTCTCGAGGTTCTCGAGGTGGATATCCTTTGGCCGGAGGAGTGTGTGTGGTGCTAGCCGTCTCCCATGTATTTTGCCCTTGGGCGTCTGCCTGGCCAACAAACACCAAGCAATCAATAAACAATTTCATTCTCCCATGGGTTAGGGAAGGAGAAGGGTGAGCGTGAGCGGGGCCCCGGGTCGCACAGGTAAATTATTTTTTGGAGAGAGAAACGAGAGGCCTCCCCTCCTCCGGCTCCGCTTCGCGCCTTGACACGGAGAGGTGTGCAAGCGTGCACCTGTACACGCGGTGCCGCGAGGGGTGCATCAACACGTTACACGTACCTGCCGCAGCATGTGACGCGGAACCGGATTCTCGACTTTCAGGGTGAGACGTGGAAGGACAAGCGCGAAACGGAGCGGCCCAACAAGAACTATGCGCGCGCTCCGGGCTGGTCGAACGTGCAGTACCCCAAAGTGCAAAGTCCAAAGACCTCGTCAAGGTGCGCGCGACATAGTTCACATGCCAAGGTATGCGGGCGTGTGAGTGAGTTTCAAATTCTTCAGCTTCAAAAAGAAAGAAAGAAAACGGACAACCCAAGGGAGGGATGGGAGGACGGCACGCCGCCACCACACAGGGATTTTAAGGAGAGGGGTGTGGTGCACTAGCCGTCGCCCACCCTTGGGCGTCCGCCTCTTCCTATCTCTCTTCGCAGTCTCTCTCCGATCTTCAGCTTCATCCGCAACCCGGAGAGCACTTGGAGAACTTGGGTCGGCCGGCGCGACTTCTTTGATCGTGCGCCTTGACGGCCGACAAGCGACTTCCGGCTGCGATCGCGCGCCTTGGCGCCCGAGTGTCGGCAGCCTGCTAAGCGACGAAGCGAACTGTCGGCGAAGCCTTCAATCTGCCACGGTCTCCAGCCATGGCAGCAAGCGATGCGGTCGACAATTTTACAAACGACAGCGCCATGATGATTGCGTGGGAGCGGGCGCTCGAGTCAAAGCGGCCCGACGCTCTCTTTGTCGACCCGCTTGCTGAGGCGCTGGCTGGCACCAAGGGCGAGACGCTCTCGGCAGGCTTCGGCAACATGAGCCAGATGTTTGGTTTCGAGGACTGGGCCGCGTTTCACAAGACGTGGGTCGCCGTCCGCACCCGTTTCATCGACGACAGAGTCAAGGAGTGCGCATGCGGCTTTAAGCAGCTTGTGAATCTCGGCGCCGGGATGGACACGCGACCCTACCGCCTCGAGTGCTACAAGGCGTTTGCCAATGGCTCCTTCAACGTGGACATGAAGGTGGTGAACGACGGCAAGGCTCGAATCTTTGAGCGCGTGCTGCAGGCGCATAATAATAAATGACGGAATGCCTCAGGGGACGTCACCAACGGCTCGTCACCACCTGGCCTCGCCTTGCCTCAGGCGCCAGCCGCGCACTGCCCTGTGCATCGCGTCGATCTCGACTTTAAGGACGAGGAGAGGACGCTAGCCACGGAGTTGGGGTCGGAGGGATCGGCCTTCGATGCCGCCGCACCGGCGCTATTCATCGCCGAGGGTCTGATTATGTACCTTGGCGCCTTGGGCAAGATCAAGCTGCTGAAGGACGTCTCTGCGGTGGCCGCGCCGGGGTCCGTCTTTGTGTTGCAGTACATGGACGCGTCTGAGAGCGAGGTGGCCAAGTCGACGCCGGGCGCACTGGACAATGCTCTCAGCAAGGAGGATGCGGCGCGGGAGCTGACCGAGCTTGGGTGGACGGACTTTGAGTTTAGCAAGTTTGGCGACGAGAGGCTGGACTTTGCGCGCTTCCCCACGGGACGATTCCCGCCGAGCGCAGCCTTTTCCTTTTGCGTGTGCATCCGACGTGAGGACATCAATGCTGAGGTGTGTGAGGACCTCTGTCACGGCTCACGCTCTGCATGAGAACAGAGAAGCACTTGTGGAGCACTGGGAAGGTTTTTGTTGTTTGGTTTGTCCTGCCGACCCCTAGAGAGCCTAGTTCGCTTCTCCCAGTAAGCTAAAAGTACGTTACATGTTTAGAACACACGGGCAGCGCCAAGACTCACAAAAATAGAGAAGTTAATAAAAATCTCTCTCTCAAAAATAACGGCCAACCGGACGTGCGATCTCGCAAAATCTCGATTTTCTGGCTGGCCAACAAACACGAACCAATCAATAAACAATTTCATTCTCCCATGGGTTAGGGAAGGAGAAGGGTGAGCGTGAGCGGGGCTCCGTGCTGTAAATTCTTTTTTGAGAAACGAGAGGGCTCCCCTCCTCCGCTTCGCGCCTGTGGAGCATGAAAGAGCTCTTCTGGGCGGCGCGGCACGGCAGGGTGGCCGAGATTGGCGAGGCTCTCGCCGCCGGCGCCGACATCGACTGGCGTCACCCGGTCGATGGCCGCACTCCGCTCGGCGCCGCCGCAGCCTTTGACCAGCTCGAGGCGCTCGAGGCACTCCTCGCCGGCGGCGCGGCGTTGGAGGCGCGCGAGTCCGAGACGGGACTGACGCCGCTCGGGGTTGCGGTCCTCGAGGGATCGGCGCGCTGCCTCGGCGCGCTGCTGCGAGCTGGCGCCGATGTCGACGCGACGGATGCCGACGGGTGGACGCCGCTGATGCACGCGGCGGCGCGGAACCAGCTGTTCGAGGCGCAGAGCCTCAAGGCTGCGGGCGCCTCGCTCGGGGCCAACGTGGACGGTGTCGGCGCGCGGGAGCTCGCCGCCTCCGAGGGCCACGACGCAGTGCTTGCGCTCCTCAGCCAGGTCGTCAAGCCCTCCCTCCTCCCTCTCTCCCCACCCCCTCTCCTCCCTCTCTCCCCACCCCCTCTCCTCCCTCTCCCCACCCCCTCTCCTCCCTCTCCCCACCCCCTCTCCTCCCTCTCCCCACCCCCTCTCCTCCTCCCTCTCTCCTCCTCCCCGCCCCCTCGCGTATGGCCGCTCCCCTCGCATTCCGCCGGCGCCCGTCGCCGCCCTCGCTGTGCCACCATGGCCCAACCAGCCGCCGCCTCTCACCGCAGCCCTCCTCTCTGTCCCTCACCGCCAGCCTCCTCCTCCTCCTCCCCAGGCGCAGCCGCCATCCGCCGCCAAGCTCGAGTCCAGCGGGCCCGCCGCGGCGGCCACGACGCCGCAGCTCACCGACAGCGGCGCGGCTGTGATGGCTTCGGCGCCCATCGCCGCACTTTTGCAGGAGGGTGTGGTGGGCGATGCGGACTTAGCCGCTTCTGCGGCCGTCGCCGGCGCCGCCATGAGCGGCGGCGACGGCGGCACTTGCGCGTCGACGGCCGAAGGCGCGGCGGCCAACGGCGCGTCCACATGCGTCGACGCCGGCGCGGCTGGCGGCGAGCGCGGCGTGAAGCGGGCGCGGTGTGCGGCGCCGGTGAGCGGGCAGGCGGCGGCCATGGCGGTGGAGGTTCTACAGGACGGGGACGACATCGTCGTGCAGCTGCACAGCAACGACATCGTGCGCCCGCCGTCCCCTCCCCCCCCTCCCTTCACCCACACGCCCCGCCCCGCACACCCACACGTCCGCGAGCCCCCTCCCCCCCCTCCTCCCCCTCCTCCCCCTCCCCCTCCCTCCCTCCTCCTCCCCCCTCCTCCCTCCCCCTCCCCTCCCTCCTCCTCCCTCCTCCTCCCTCCTCTGCGAGCCGTAGCCCAACACTCGTCCAGCACGACCCCCGCCCTTTGCAGGTGCGCCTCTCGCCCGAGAGCGGCGAGCTCACCCTCGCCTCCGGCGGATGGCGCACTGCCTCCACCCTCGAGGCGACTGCTCTCCCCGGCCCCGGAGCTTGCGAGCCGCCTCTTTCTCCTCACCCGGCGTCATCCGCCAACAGGCAATCAACGGCTCGCTCGCGGAGCTGCTGCCGGAGGCGAGCAGAGAGACGGCAGAGAGACGGCAGAGAGACGGCAGAGAGACGGCAGAGAGACGGCAGAGAGACGGCAGAGAGACGGCAGAGAGACGGCAGAGAGACGGCAGAGAGACGGCCGAGAGAGATGGCCGAGATGGAGCCGAGCTACTGCCCGGCGCGATCACGCCTCCCACCGCGCCGCCCTCGGGAAGAGAATCCTCTCCAACACGCGGCCGCGGCCGCCGTGCTCAGGCGCGCTTGTCGATCAGCATTGCCGCAAACGGCGAGTGGCAGGCGCAGCGACTGCCCCCCCTCTGGCCCTCCCCTCCACCCTCCCCTGACGCCCCCTCGCTGCGGGTGGCAGGTTCACGACGGCTCGGGCGACTCGGTCCTCTTCGCAGACGGACTGGTCATCCCCACGACGGCCGACAAGCCGCTCCAGCGGGCCGGCATCGGTGCCGCGCGCCTCGTCTCTGCTCCGCCTCAGCCCCCGCGTCGCGCCCTCACGCCCCTCCCCCTTCGGCCATGCAGGGGCTCCGAAGCCGCTCCTCTCTGGCGCCACGGCGGGCGCTCTCGGCGGCGGCGGCATGGGCGCGATGGGAGGCGGCTTGGGCGGCGGGTGCGCGGGCGGCGGCGGCGGCGCACCGAGGCAGGCGCCTCACAGCGGCGTGATGGGCGGCTGCGGCGGCGGGGGGGCGGGAGGCATGATGGGGGCGGGCGGCGTGGTGAACGGCGGTGCAATGGGCGGCGGCGGCGGAGGAGGTCCGGCTGCGTTGGCCCTGGTGATGAACAAGCTGCAGGCGGACTCCCACCCACTCTCGTCGTACACCCCTCTCCTCCCGCGCTCATGCACCGCCCCCTGCCCCTCCCTCTGGTGCTTCCTCCTGACCTCGCCCCGCCTGCGGGACCCCCTTCCAGGTGTACCCGCCGCTGCTGATGGCCCTCTCCACGACGCCCATGCTGCAGGCTGCCCTCGTGCAGCACTTGACGGGAGGAGGCACCGCGGCGGCAGAGGCGCTGCTCGGCGCGATCGACCGCGCGGGCGCCGCCAACGGGATCCAAGGCGCCCAGGCCGCCTTCTTCTCGCTCCTGAACGGGCCCAACAATGGTTGCATGGCTAGCGGCGGGATGGGCGGGATGGGCGGCATGGGCGGCGGCATGGGCCATGGTATGGGCCAGGGTATGGGCCAGGGCATGGGTCCGGGTATGGGTCCGGGCATGGGCATGCACGCCGGCGCACTCGACCCGCGCCGCCGATGAGGACGGCTGTAGCGCTCCCCCGAGAGTTGGCGACTATCTCCACAAGTTGCGGCGCCGTGTCGTCGTCATAAGCAGAAAAATGGACAGACCGACCACGAGCATCGGACAGGCACTCACTGTCACTCTCACACCGTTCACAGACGACACGCGGATCGCGGTCACGCGCCCCGGCGGCGGCGCGGGCCCGGGGGCGGGCTGCGGGCGCGCCCGGGGCCGGCGCCGGGGGGGGGGCGCGCAAGCGCGCGGCGGCGAGTGCGTCTAGGAAGTGTCTAGGAAGCGTCTCAGGAAGCGCCTGCTCGACATCCGCCTGCTCGAGCGGCGGCGCGCGCGGTGTGTAGGAGGCTGCGCTGCGCAAGCACGGGCGGGAGGGGTTTCTCCTGCGGAGTCGTGCGTGCGCAGGGCTCCTCTTTGCTTTCTTCTACTCCCTACTATCATCTCGTTCCCGTCCTACCAGAGAAGGTGTGTGTCCGACCCAATGTGCGCAGGGGGTCCCCCCCGGGCCCCCTCGACGGGCCCCCGCCCCCGCCCCCGCCCCCGCGGCTGGGAGCTCCCAGCGCGACGGTGGCCCTGTGTGTGTGAGAAAAATAGGGAGTCGAATGTGCAAACAACGGGGGAATAGACGAGACAAAAGACACCAACACCGTCATCCTAATCTCCTTCCTGTGGCAGGAGTTCATCGGAATGCAGCGCCTCTCTCAATTCACGTCTTCAGCGTCAGCTGGACGCCGTCCATGTACACGATAGCCTTGTCCCCCGTTAGGAACGCACCCACCAGCGTGACTGCGCCCTCCTTCGCGTCCGCGGGCACGCGCGGCTTGAGTTGGCTGTGGTAGAAGGCCCAGCGCTCGCGGTGCGCATGGTAGTCGGCGCTCAGATCCGTCGGGTAGAAGCCGGACGCCAGCGGGAAGGCCTCGCCGCATGTTGGCAGAGCGGCGCCCTCGAGCGCCAGGAATGGGCAGCTTCCTGCCACGTCGACCACCGCGCTCACTCGCACGTACCCGTTTGGGCTCATGCATGGCAGCCAAGACCTGTCAAGGCGCGCGTTCCCAACCGTTGCCCTCACCGGCTTGACCGGGAGCGCGTGCTTGTCGTGAAAGTGGCACGGCGCCGGGAGGTCGGTCTTGCGGACGCCAGCGCACTTTGTGGCGAGGCTGACCATGTAGCCAGGCGCATGGTCGCGCGCGCGGACGGCGAGTTGCGTAGCGGGGTGCGCCTGGACGTGCGCCACGAGTTCGCTCACTGTCGTTGGGTGACGCTTGACGCTCTCGCTCAGGAAAGCCTTCTTCCGCCTGACGGGGTCGGCTGCCGGCGCGGTCTTGTTGCTTGTGCTCGCCGCCATGCTCATGAAGACGCGACCGACCTGCGCCGGCTCGGTCGCACGGCCGCAGCGGTAGACGGTCGCGCCGCACGCGCCCGCGAGGTCGTCGGTTGTCGCGACAACAGCTGTTGGCTCGCCGATCTTCGCGGACCACTCGCCCGCGAGCGCCTTGGCGCGCCCCGCCGCGCCGGCCGACATCGCCAGCCCACCCGGCTCCTCCCTCGCCTCGGTGAAGGTGTGCCGGCAGACGAGCAGGAGGCGGCCCTTGGCGCGGTTCGCCGGCCACGTGCCGTCGTACACGACGTCGGGCATGCCTTCCTGTCGGCAAACGACCTGGAACGGGACGGCCCCGCGCGTACGGCGCGTGTAGTTGTCCACCGAAACCTCGAAGGTCCCCGGCTTGCAGCTCACGTTTTCGCACGGGTTGGCTTCGCCCTGCGTCACATTGGCGTCAAAGTCGAGGGTGCACCCGTCTGCCGACTTGTTGCCGTAGTAGATCTTGTTGCCACTGGGCGTCTTGACATGGATGTCTAGGTCGTCGGTGAACTTGCCGTCCCACGTGAGCCCAATCAGGTGCCTCGAGGTGACGCCTGCCGAGGCGAGCTTTCGGTTCAGCTGTGACACCATGTAGAAGCGGGGATCCGAGCGCGAGTCCATCTCCGCGCGCAGTGCGTCCCGCGAGGGCAGCGTGAGAAAGTCGACGATGTTGTCTGACTGGTGGAAGTCGAGGTGCGTCGCGCCCTCCACGCGGCCGTGAAGGATTGCGAGCACTCGCAGCTTCGCCTTGTCGGCCAGCGACATGAGCTCAAACGCGCCGCTTCCGGTCGTACACTGCTCGACGGCGTGACGCTGAAGAGTCTTCACCCAGCGTAGACACGCGGCATAGTGCTCTGGGCGCTCAAGGTGCGGCTGCTCCTCGAGCATGATGTTGACAGATGCCAGCGCCTCTGGCACCGTCAGCTTGGCGAGTCGCACATCCATCTGGCCATAGTAGCGCGCGAGCTTGCTGTAGCGTGTGGCCGCCTCGGATGTCGAGCATGCAGCGGGATGGACGGTCCAATGGCCGTACTCCTCTCCAGTGGCGGCGCACTTGCCCTCTCGGACGGGTGCGTAGGTCGCGTCGGTCACCACGACGAGCTCGTGCTGCTGGCATGACTGGCACGCCTGCTCTGCGAGATCCTCCGCGAGCTCTCGCAGCTTGGTCACCTCGGCACACGGCGCGGCAATGCCGCAGGTTAGGTTGTGGAGGAACACGGGCCCCGATGGGCCGAGGTCACGCACGTATATTCCTGCGCGGTGGATGCACGCGTTGCAGCCGTGCAGCGCCTTTGCCACCCGCTTTGCCTCGTTGACGATTGCTCCCTTGGGCACGCGGAGGACGTAGCGCAGGTCGCCGGCAGCGTATACTGGGGAAAGATGCGTGCGGTCGTCGATGTACGTCGAGTAGGCGGCGCTCTCGTCCTCGCCCTTGCTCACGTCCACCCACTCGTCGTCGTTGGCGGGACGCGGCATTAGCGCGGGTGGCTGCAGTTGGGCTGACACGGGACGCGACCCTGACTCGTCCTCACGCTCGTCTCGGACAAAACTAAGAAGAATTTTAGGGTTCGAGCAATCTCTTGCCGCGCTAAGTTTCACGCGCGTCGACGTCCGCGCTGTGTGTCTCGCCTGAGCTCGCCCTTGCCGCCCGAGGCTACCCGGGCGGGACCGACAGACAGACAATATCAAAGGACGCGCAGATGCGCTTGTGACCACGCGTCTCTCGTGATCGCGGCACGAACAGTGCTGTGTGCGGCGCTCGCCACCCTGGCGATTGTGCTGGACGGCGGACGGTGTGGTTGCTCAGTACAGATGGCCTTATGACGACCCCATTTCGACATCGTCCCTAACTAACTAAGGTCTAAGGACTAAGCGCTAAGGCCTCTGCTCACATGAGCTCCATGCGGGAATGACTGGCTCAGCGGACGTTGAGCGTGAGTGCCATCGGCGACTCGCCTGGGGCCGGCATGTCCCTGAATCTATCGGCGCCAGCCACGCACGCTGGACGGCCCTGCGGCACGTCTTGCCCGGGCCTGAACCGCGAGTGCATGGATGGATCAGATTCGAGGAGGGTTCTGTACATTCCTATTCGTGATCTTGGGTCAGGGGTGTGCCATGTGTGAAGAACTTGGGCGGGTCCCCAGTGTGGGGGACGGGCGCTTCCCACGTTCGCGCCTAAGGAGTCGTACCCTGCACGCCGCGCGTCGACAAACATATGCCGCTGCACCTCCTGGGCTGGGTCGCCACGGCGCTGCTCGCGGGGCACGTGTGTGTCCGCCCCGAGGCGCGCCAGCTCGCCACCGCCCTGCTCCTCGCCGGCCTCGCCTCGCTCCTCGCCGCATGGCACGTCGCATACGCCGGCGCCGCGTGCGTTGTCGCTGCGGTGGCGGCGGCACAGCGGTGGGTAGCGCCGGGCAGCCTGGCGCTCGGCGCGGCCTTCCACGTCGTCGCCGCCTGGTGCCTCCCCGTGGTCACGGCCTGGGGCGTCACGATGCAGTTTGGCGACGGGCTCTTCAGCCAGGAAGTCGGCCACCTGCTCCCGACGACGTTTGAGTTTGCGGTGCTCTTCTTGCTGCCGGTGGTCATGGTACTCGCGCATCCGGAGGAGCCACTGCGCCTTCGCCGGGCCGAGAGCCTTGCGATGCTCCTCGCCGGCTTCATCGACGGCTGCATAGAGTCGGCGTCGATTGCGCACCGCGAGGCGTGCTGCAAGACGCGTGAATGGGCGCCGAGCGTTGGCCGGCTTAGATGGGGAAGACGCGTTATACCGTAGCTAGCACTGAGCGTGTCAAGTCCACGCCAACTCAAACTTGCACGACCGTCCCCGACCACTCGCCGGCTTCCATTGTAGGTCGACTACCAGCACATCCTGCACGCCTTCACGTGGGGATCGTTCGGGCTGCTCGGCCTCGTCGCCACGCTGCACGGCCGCACGACCGACCTGCACGTCGGCCTGGGCACGATTCTCTATGGCGTGGGCATGCTCTCGCACACGCACTCACACCAAGATGCGACGCCAGCACTCGTGAACACACTTGCCACTCCGCAGCCTTCCATCGCATTCAATGCCCGGGCCGCTGTCTTCGCATGTCGACGGCGCCGAATAACACGAGCATTCAGCCACGCCTTAATTGGCTTGGAATTATCACCGCAGGCACACGATGGACGACGACAAGTACACCATCACGTGGATGCACATGCACAAGGCGTCGGCAGCGCTCTACATTGTGGGCGGATACCTGCGCCTCACCGGCAAGGTGCTCGACGGCGCCTGCGTCCTCTTTATCGGAACGCTCTTCTTTTGCCTCTCCGCGAGAGAGGTGCCCAAAGACGGGTGTGTGTTGGAGCAACAAAGCAGCGCAGGCGTTGACCCGCCGACTTGCCCTCTAGGTGTCGCACGCGATCGCCGACCTGTTCCCGTCGGGAAACGTGGCGGTACTTGGCGTGGTGCCACTGACGGTGTCGGCCTTGGCGGCCCACTACCACGTGCTGCATTGCCTGGTGCGCAATTGGCGTGCTGACACCCCCCACAAGGCCGCGCGAACCGCCGCCGTCCAAGCGATCGCGCAGGAGGAGGACGCGATGCTCGGTGTCCAGCTCGAGTCGTAACACACACACTACACTACACAACGGTCAACGCGCAACACGGCAACCCCCCCCCCCCCCCTGACTCTGAGTTGGCTTTTATGACATCGCGCGATGCATGCAGCTCATAAAAGCCAAACCAAAAGATGTTTTTCGTAAATTTGTGTCGTTCCCCAAATTTCCTCGCCTGCGGCACCCCAGTCCAACCGAAGAACAGCTTCTCGGACCTCCAACGCGGTCAATCCGAAAAAAAAGCCGGTAGATCGGCAGCCCCGAGAGTTCTGGCTCGATGCCCGCCTCTTCCGAGCCGCTGCTGCCCACCTCCAACCAGCCGGAGAGCCTAACGCCCGCGCCGCATGGCCAGGACGGCGAGCCGCAGCTCTGGCGGCTAAAGATGCTGCGGCCGGCGCCTAGCACCGCCGATGAGGACGCGCTCGGTGGCGGCTTTGGAGGAGCTTCGTCGTCGCTGGGCGGCGGTGGCAGCGGCGGGCAGCAGCGCTGCTTCGCCGGCGCGGAGCTCCTCTCTGCGGCGCTGCAGGCGCTGCCCATCACCCTCTTCAACCTGGCGCAGTCATATGCGTTCGCTCAGCTCGTGTGCGTCGACTCGGAGCTCGAGCCGGCACTGGTGGCGGCGATGCACCTGACCGGGCTGGTGACGGTGCAGGCGCGCCTCTCGTGCAGCTCCGCCGTCCCGCACTACGCCGTCGCCTCTGCGGACGTCACCATCGCCCTCCTCTGCCACCGGCTCGTCTCGTCCGTCTATGCAGCTCTCGGCACTCACACTGCGGCCGCGGCGGCGACGGCGCGGGCAACCTCGCTGCTGGCGGTCGGGCTGGCCTCGCTGTCGCAGGGCGCGATGTACTACGCCGTCGGCCGCGCGCGCGCCGCCGAGATTGTCCTCTTCCTCCCTTACCCTCTGCTCGCCGGGCTGCTGGCGGTGACCGGGGCGATGGCGACGCTTGGCGCCGTCGCCGTGTCCACCGGCATCAGCGTGCACGACGCCCGCTCGCTGCAGCACGCGCTGCGCGACGGCGGCGCCCAGCTCGCCTCGGCCGCCGGCGCTCGCACCGCCGCACCTCGCCGCACGACCCTCCTTGGGGTGGGCGGGCGCACGGTTGGCGGACACTGTCACCTCTAGGCCTCGCGCTGCTGCAGCTCGTGATTGGAGCGAAGCTGCACACGCTCTCCGCCTTCGTGCTGCTGCTGCCCGCCGCCCTCACCATCTTCTATGCCATCGCCGGGTTCGCCGGCTGCACTCTCGACGGCGCCTCTCCCCCCCCTCTCCCCCTCCCCCCCCCCCTCCTCGCTGCCGCGTGGCTGACCCGGAGCCCGCCCGGCACCTAGTACCTGCCCGGCACTGCCCGCCCGGCACCCGTCCCTCACCCCGCCCGGATGGCATCGGTCCTCTAGGCCTCGTCTCGGACGGGTGGCTCTTCGAGGCGGAGGCGGGCGTCCCCCTCTCAGTCTATTTCGCGCCCGGCGCCGCCACCGGCCGACTCGGGCCGGTCTCCTGGTCGGCGATGTTTTCGGATGTCAACGGCCCCGTCGTCTTCGGCGGTGGCGCGGCACCACCCCGACTGCCTCTCGGGTGTACCTCGGCCGTGCCTACCCTCTAGGCCTCTTTGCGTCGGCGGTGACGTCGCTCGCGGCAATGCTGCTCAAGGCGGAGATTGGCAGAGAGACGGCAGAGAGACGGCAGAGAGACGGCAGAAGAGATGGCAGAAGAGATGGCAGAAGAGACGGCAGAAGAGATGGCAGAAGAGATGGCAGAAGAGACGGCAGAAGAGACGGCAGAAGAGACGGCAGAAGAGATGGCAGAAGAGACGGCAGAAGAGATGGCCGGTATGCCGAGACGTTGCCCCCTCCTCTCCCCCTCCCCTTCCCCACCCCTCCCCACCTCTCCCCACCTCTCCCCACCCCTCCCCACCTCTCCCTCCCCCTCCGCTCGAGCGGCCGATGCGAGAGTGAGGCCTTCCTCCTCGCACCCCCTCCTCGCACCCCCTCCTCGCACCCCCTCCTCGCACCCCCTCCTCGCACCCCCTCCTCGCACCCACTCCTCGCACCCCCTCCTCGCACCCACTCCTCGCACCCCCTCCTCGCACCCCCTCCTCGAGACCGGCGGCGCGCCCCTCTCTCTCTCTCTGCAGGTGGTTGTGCTCGAGTCGGCCTCGGGCGCCTACCTCGACATGAACGCAGAGCTGCGCGCCGCCGGCTCCGCCTCCGCCCTCGCCGCGCTGGTGGGCGGGGTGGCGGCGCACCCGTCGCCCGACTACGTCACTGCGCTGCGGCAGGCAGCCAGGGGCGTTGCGCCCGCCCGCGCCCGCCCCGCACCACTCCCCCGGGCATGATGTCATCCCCTTGCATGTATTAAGCGACCCCGAGGTCTCCCCATGGGCCCTTCGGATCGATAGGACTGACCCGCCGTTTCCTCCTCCCCCCCCCCCCCCCCCATGCCTCGCACCACAGCGCTGTCGCCCGCCCCTCCGCTGAGCGCCGCGCCGCGCCCTGCCGCCCGCAGGCGGGCGTGCGGACTCGCGCGGTCGGGGTCGCCACCATCGCCCTGACCGCCTCGGTGCTCGCGTCGGGGCTGCCGCTGATGAATGTGCGCTTCCCCGACCCCTTTCTTGTGCCGGCAGTGCAGCAGCGTCTCTTCACACCCGCGTCGCGTGAACAGGTGCTGCCGCGACCGCTGCTCGGCCTCGCCTGCCGACGGCCCCCTGTGTCGAGATCTGCACCTCAGCCAAAGGCCGGCGACTTTCGGCGGTAGGCTCGCTGCTGATGGCGAATGGAGTCGAGCTCACGAAGCTGTGGCTGTGGGACGCGCGACGCTGGATCGACCGACCAGGCGCCGCCGAGACATGCCGGCTGGAAGGGGGGGGGGGGGGGGGTCTTCGGAAGAGGTGCCGCGTCTTTTCACGGCTCGCGCCGCCTGTGGGCAGGCTTCGCGATGCTGTTCGCGATGATCTGCAGCGCCCTCCTCTTCGGCCAGACCGCCGCTGTGCTGCTCGGCGCACACGCCCGCACTCTCTCCCCCCTCTCCCCTCCCCTCCCCGCGTGACGCCCGCCCCCCCTCCTCCCAGGCGCCCTCTGCGCCGTCTTCCTCTCGCACCTTCGCCTCTCCCGCGCCAACGCGCTCAAGTACCACCTCACCAGCCGCTCGTGCCACCCGCCCGCCTCGCGGCCGCACCACGCCCAGGCCTTCCTCCGGCGGCACGGCGGCGCCATTCACCTCATCGGCCTCGAATAGCCCGAGATGCGGGCCGAGATTCGGCCGAGATGCAGCACGGCGGCGCCTTCCCACCTCGCCCTAGTAGCCAGAACCAGGCGGACACCCTCGCACGACCTAGCCAAGCACGACCCACGGACCTCGCCGCGACTGCACTCTCCGCCCCCGCGCCACTCCCTCCGCCCCCACCCCCGGCGCGCCGCAGGCCTCGAGGGCTTCCTGTACGGTGGCACCGTCTCGCGCCTCTCGCGCTACGTCCTCCGCGCGTCGGAGCGGCACGGGCGCGAGATGCGCTTCGTCTTGCTCGACCTGCAGGCGAGCTTGCACGAGAGTCACCAGCAGCACACGCCCCGACAGTCGCAACCGCCCGATGGCCCCCCGAGACTGTCCCGAGGTTGACCCGAGCCGCGCGCCCTCGGTCAGGCGACGCATGGCATCGAGCCTTCTGCGTGCACCCTCCTCCGCCGCTTGCGCCGTCAGCTCAAGGCGCGCGGCGTCAGCCTGCTCGTCGCCGCCGCCTCGTCGCAGATGGTCGCCGCGCTCTCTCCCGAGCCCGCGGCGGCCGGCGGCGGCGCCGTGGCGCTCTCGCGCACCGCCTCCATCACCTCTCAGCAAGGCTGCGAGTCGCGCGCCTCGTGCGGCGGCGCGCCCGCGACGGCGGCGCTCGACAGCGCCGTGTACCGGACGGTGGACGAGGCGCTCGAGAGCTGCGAGGAGCAGCTGCTGCTGCTCGGCTCGCCCGTCAAGTCGTCGCACCGCGAGGGCCCTTCCGCCTTCTCCACCGGCGGCGGCGGGAGGCACAGCGGCGTGTCGCTCGCGCCGACGCAGCTGCCGCCCTCGCTCATCGACGCGGCGGCGGCGGGCGGGCCGTCGAGCTCGGGGGAGGGGGGCAAGGCGGCATCGGTGGGGAAGGGCGCGGCGGAGGGCAAGGGTGCGGTGAGTGGCAGCGGCAGCAGTGGCGGCAGCGACGGCAGCGGCGAGGGCGGCGAGGAGGAGGCGCGAGGCACGCCGAACCGGCTGCGGCCGTACACGCTCGACGCGTCGGGCGCCCCCTCGCTCCCGTTTGCGCCGTCGTCGCTGCCCCCGGGGCTCTCTTGGGACTCGCTCTCGCAGTACGGCGCAAAGGTGACGCTGCAGCCGGGCGAGCTGCTCACCTCGCAAGGCAACCTAAACCGCGAGGTCCTCGTCGTGCCTCCCTCCGGGGCGGAGCTGTCCGTCACCACCGACTACGGCTCCCCGGACGGGCCGCTCACCCTCGCCACGATGAGGCACGGCGGCGTCTTCGGCGCCGAGGGCGTGCTACTCGGGCTGCCGTCGGTGAGCTCGGCGGTCCTGTCGCGCTCCTCGCCGCCGCGCGTCGTCATCTCGCTCTCGGCGGCGCAGCTGCGCGGCCTCCGCCTCTCTCAGCCGCAGCTCGCGCAGCAGCTGCTCGCCGCCGCGTTTACGCAGCAGCAGGACTACCTCTGGCTCCTCGCGCGCCGCACCTCCCTCTGGACGGGCGGCGGCCACGGCGGGCCCAACCTCGACTGGGGCTCCGCCCAGCCGCAGCTCGTCCCGTCGGCCGACGGCGCGCCGCTGCCCACCATCCCGTCCGAGGTGTCGCTGCCCGAGTCGTTTGGCCGCAAGGAGGTGCGGTCGGCGGTACTCTCGCCGTGGCGCCACGCTGTCTCGCCGCAGGAGAGGACGCCCTACTCGGCGGGCAGCCGCGGCGCCGGCCACATCGCGGGGCTGATGTCGCAGTGGCAGGCGCCGCGCGAGCAGCGCACCGAGCTCTCGCCCGCGAGCGGCGGCGGCGCCGACCCCGCGCGCATGCGCCGCTTTGGCGGCAAGAGCTCGCCCAAGCGGAACCGGCCGGGAGGCGCCTCGTCGAGCCAGCAGCCGCTGCATCGCAGCGCGCGCGGCGAGACGGGGGGGACAAGCTACACGCTCTCCCGCGACGGCCATGCCGCGAGGGATGAGCTCGCCAAGGCGGCGGCCCGACGCGACAGCGGCGGCGTCGGCCGACGCTCGGTGTAGCCGGCCAGCTCGCCCGAGGCGGCCAATCCGACGACGACACGACGGGCCACACGCGGTCGATGGCGTGGTGGTTGCTGCCGAGTAGGAGCAAGACGCAGCGCTAACGGTAACGCGCGACCCTCATTTTTGCCTCAGCCTCTCAATTATTTCAGGGACCGGATCTACGCTCCGTTTTTTCTCTCACAGGTAATCTGTTGCTGTTGTTTGCATTTAAAGATGTTTTTGTAACAGTCATGACGATTTTATGCGCGCTGTGTCCTGTGATTACTCGCGTGTGAGTCCCAGGTGCAGGTCTGATGTGAGTGTCCGTCTCGGCGTCTGCGCGCTGGTGTGTCTGTGCGACGCTCCGACGCAGCCCCTGCTCGAAAAACTACCGGCGCGCTTCCAGCAGCGGCTGCTCTCCCTTGTCGGCGAGAAGGAGGGTGCCGAGCGGCGCGTCCAAGAGCTCGAGCGGAGCGTCCATCACGCCGAGGCGACGCTCAAGGCTGCACTCGACAGCAGGAGCGTGGTGCAGGCCAACCTGCGTGCGTCGGAGCGCCGCATACAGGAGGCCGAGGCTGCGGCCGACCGCCATCTGGCGGCGGTGGAGTCGGAGAAGCAGCGCTACGCCATCCTGGCTCGGCTCGCCGACGACCAGGCGGCCGAATCCAAGGCAAAGATCAGCGCACAGGGCGAGCAGCTGCACGTACTGAACGAGCAGCTCGGGGCTGCGAACCGGGCGGTAGGCACACTGCGTGCTCACCAGTCCTCCTCGGATCAACACATCGAGTCGTTCCACGCCAAGGTCTCGGAGGTGACGCTCATGCTCGAGACGGTGCGTGCTGCGGAGCGCACCTGCCGCGGCACGGTGGGCCGCATCGTGGAGGAGCAGAGCAGCGCCCGCTTGCGCGGAGAGCTTGGAGCTTCGAGTCAGACGCTTCGCCTACGCCATGTCCATCGTCCCCGGGCCTCGCGACGTCGACTCCTCCGCCAATGCCAGCAACGCCTCCATCTCTGCCAACAGCCCACCACTCATCTCCGGATCCTCTTCTTTGGGCGGCGGTTTTGGCGCGACCTTCCTCGCCCCGAGGATGCGGACGGCGTTGTCGTGCACCTGCCTCGCCTCCTCGCTGCCGCCCGAATGTTCGACGCCTCCGCCATTCCGCCGACAAGAGGGATCGCAAGAGACTGGCAGCAGGCCCGCCACCCCGAGCGACGCTTGCCCTCGCCCTCGCCCTCGCCCTCGCCCTCGCCCCCGCCCTCGCCCCCGCGCCGCAGTGCCCAGTGGCGCCGTCCCGGGCGGCTCGAGCGGCTCGTCTGGCAGCGTGCACGCCGAGGAGAAGAAGGCAGGGAGAGTACCACTTGCTGCGGCGGAAGCAGGGAGAGTACCGTCTGCGCCGTCGCCGTCGATCCCAAGCCACTGTGGCGGTACCAATTGCGGCGGCGGCGGCGGCGGCGGCGGCGGCAACGGCGGCGGCGGCGGCGGCGGGGCAGGGAAGGCGGCCTGCCGGGTAGCGGGGGCGCATGCCGCCGCCGGGTGCAGCTCTGGCACGGTGGCGAAAGCCGCTGTGCTCGGATGCCTACGGATGAGACCACTGCGAGCCTGAGCGCGGGCCGTGGGAAGGGAGCGGGGCGGAGGGGGTTCAAAGTGGGCGCGGTGGTGGCTCGGGCGATGCGCACCAATGAAGAGGGAAACGGTCGCGCCCAACGAAATCGGCGGCGGTGCCGCCGCCACTGGCCGAAGAGGTGGCCAAGTGGCGGAGGGCGGCGAAAGCGGAGCCGCCGAGCGCCGCGACTAGCCCGGTCGCATCCGAATCGTCGACGACGCGCCGCGCCGCGCCACGCCGCCGCGCAGCACGCTCAGCCGCCGCGAGGGCGGGGGCGAGAGGTGCGAAGCCGGTCAGCCGCTCGAGGGCTGCGCTCATCGGAGGGGCCGCCGCCGAGCGGGCGACGGCGGGCAGGCTGTTCCCCACCCGCGCGAGCGCGGCGGCGAAATCGCTCCGGTCCGCCTCTGCAAGCGCCCAGAGACGGCGGTTCGCGTGTTGAGACGCCCACAGTGCGAGCGGCGTGACGGCACCGAGCAGCTGCGCCAACCGCCGATCTCGCCCAGCGTCCGCCACGTCTTGCGACGCTTGCTGCACCGCCGGCGCGACGGCACAGAAGAGGCACTTCAGCAGCGCGGCAGCTCGCGCCTACTCGCGGCCTGGCGGTTGGAGAGGCGCCACTCACAACCCACGCCGTCTCTGAAGCGTGTAGCGCCGCGCCTCGGACGGTCGCGACGAAGCGGTGCTGCCTTCACTCTCGCCGACACCCTCACCGTCGTTCTCGCTGCCGCCGCCGCCCTCGCCGCAGCTGCTATCCTCGCCGTCGCGCCCGCAATCGCCGCCGCCGCCTCCTCCGCCCGGCGGCGGAGCGAGGTGGAGCGCGGCGATGCAGACAAGCAGCGCGACGCCGACCCGCTTCGGGGATGGGGCGCTGGCGCGCGCCTGGCGCGGCGGCGTGTGTCCGTCGGCGGCGAGAGGGGAGGGTGGGGGAGGTGGGTGGCGGCCGAGGGCGAGCACTCACCACGGAGACTCGCAGCCATCCGCTGAGCTGCAGGAGCAGCGACCTGCTGCCAGCCAGGTCCTCTGCGGAGGCCGCCCCGTCGCCGAGGCACGCCGAGGCGACGAGTCGGCAGACCGCCGCCTCGAACCAGTCCGCCGCCTCCCTGCTCGCCAGGGGCGGCGGCGGCGCCGGGGGAGGCCCTCGCGCGAGCTCGGCGCAGAGGCGGTCGAGATTGTTTTGGGCCGTGGGCGCGAACGGCTCCGGGGCGAGAAGGGCGCGGAGGTAGCCGAAGAGGGCGTCGAGCGTGACCCCTTCCTCCCTCGCCAGCACCGCCTGCTGGTGGTAGCAGTGGCCTACGGGAGATGGCCGAGGTGTGGCCGAGAGTGTGTGTGTGTGATGTTTGGCCGACGCGTGTAGATCTGTCGGCCCGGGATCTGTCGGCCCGCCCGTGTGCAGCAGCAGCGGGTGCAGCAGTGGCTTCGCAGGGTGCGAGTCGCGCGGAGCGAGTGGTGTGCCGCATCTCGCTCGCGTCTCGGGCTACGTCTGCCGCCCAAGCCCGGCTCGAGCTGCTGCGCCCCGCCGTAGGACGCGGCGGCGGCACAGAGCGCCCTCTTCCTCTGAGCCGCGTCGCGCCCGCCCTCGCTGACGGCGCGATAGCGGGCCAAGTCGCCCAGCCGCAGCAGCGACACGGCACAGAGCCGTCTCCACGCCTCGCGCCGCCGCTTCCCCTCCCCGCCGCCGGCCGCTCCCGTCTCCCCGCCGCCGCTCCCGCCGCCGCCGCCGCTCTCGCCGCCGCCGCCGCCGCCGCCGCTCTCGCCGCCGCCGCCGCCGCCGCCGCCGTGCGCCCGCCCCGTGCCGCCCGGGCGGTGGGACGCGACGCGGGAGGGGCCGCCGGCGCCAAACTCGATCATGAGCGAGCCGTGGACGAACATGTAGGGCAGCCGGTGCGCCGCGACCCACTCGCGCGAGACGAGACCCGACTCGATGTGGTCGCGGTACAGGTCGTTTGAGAGGAGGAGGGCGTCTCGGTCCTGCGCGAGCCGGAGGAGGAAGCCGTCCTCGTCGACGCCGGAGGGAGAGAGGTGCAGCGACGCGCGCACGAAGGGCGAGAGGAGCTCCGGCTCGGCGAGGCACTTGCCCGGCCCGCCGTTGAGCGCCCAGCGCGGCAAGATGGCATGCACCTCGCACGCACACTCTGGCAGTGAGCCCAGAGTGAGCCGCAGGGAGCTTCACTCACCTGGGGAGGAGTGGCGTGCACCTCGTACCCCTCCTCCTGCAGCCGGCGGATCGCCTGCGAGAGCGGCCGCGCCGAGCCCCTCCGGCCCTCGTCGGAGCCCTCCGTGTCGCGGGCCACGTTCAGCCCGTCCACAACCTACACCGCGCGCCAGCCGAGTGAAGCTGCCTTCGCTCGCGGGGCCGGCAGCCACCTCGGCGTCTCAAGCCACCACCACCGGCCGACCCTCGCCGCCGCAGTCGCCGCCGCCTCCCGACGAGGCCGCCTCTGCGCCGCCGCTCCCGTCGCCGACGCCGGCGAGCCTGCGAGGGACGGCGTAATCGGCGGTGGTGGAGGTGGAGGAGGTGGCGGCGGAGGCGGAGGGCGGAGGCGGGAGAGTTGTGTTTTGAGCCTGCGCAGCTCCGAGACCAGCGACTGGTAGAAGGAGCTCGAGTCGCGCAGCACTTCGGCGAGCCGCCGCTCCGAGTGCTGCAGCGCGTCGCGCGCCGCCGCATCGTCCCGGTGGCCGTCGTCCCGGTGGCCGTCTCTGTTGGCCCGGATCTGCGCGCGCTTGCTGCTCACCGCGCGGGTGTAGTACTTGACGCTGTCGTAAACGCAGCGGTGCCACAGCGTGCGCTCCGCATTCCGTGTGCGCGCCAGCTCGGGCTGCTCGATCATCAGCCGGCGGCACTCTGCCTTCAGCCCTGCCCGCGCCTGTTGCACATCGCGGTCGCGCTCCGAGCGGCCGCCGCCGCCGGCGAGCACGAGCTTCGCGGAGAGCGTGGCCTCGAGGGAGGAGAGGTGCACGACGGCCATGCTGTGTGTATAAAGGCGTTGGCTGCTGTACTACGTACTTTTAGCTTACTGGGAGAAAAGAGAGAGTCTCTCTCTGCTGTAAAAAGAGGGTTTTTGCTAAGATTCCACCACACGTCCCACGGCGGGCTCCCACGTGTGGGATCCGGGACTCGTGGCGTGGGAGCGTCACGACCACACACCTACACGCTCAATCCGTGGGACCCACCGACACCGAGCATGACGGTGTAGCTTCGCGCCCCCGGCCGCCAGCCATCCCCGATGGACCCCCCACGCCCACTCCGCGCTCGGCAGCGCCTCTCATCTCACCGAACCGCCCGCCCGCCGCCCCGCTGCCGACAGGATCCCATCGACGTCGAGCCTACGGAGGTGCTGCCGGCCGCGACCACGGAGAAGCAGATGAAGTGGAACGTCGACTTCCGCGCCGAGATCATGCTTCAGCAGGTCAGCTTCTCGGGCGTCAAGGCCTGGATGACCCACCACACGAACGTCAAGGGGAGCAAGGAGCGTCAGTACAACCGCAAGGAGGAGTGGGAGTCCATCGTCACGCTGGTCAAGAAGTCACCGGCGTTCAAGACCTTTGCCTGGCCGAAGGACGAGCAGGCCATCATCCATTGGATCGAGCGCCAGCTCGCCGCCAACAAGCACCTCTGGACGCCGAGGATGGAGCACAACGAGCCCGCCGAGGCCGGCACTGAGGGCACCAAGTCCGAGGTGGCGCTCACTGAGTTCCAACAGGTGGGCGGCGCAGCTCCCTCGCTCTTCCTCTCCAGCCAACACCCGCAAGCGCCCTCGCCCTCCCCCCCTGGTCACCCCCTGATCACCCTTAACCGCCGCCCGACCGTCGCCTGACCGCTGCCTGCACGCAGCTGCTTCTGGAGATCAACGAGCACAAGAAGGAGGCCGACCGCATCACCGCCGAGAACAAGGCGGGCAAGGACAAGGCCGGCGAGCTCAGCGGTGCAAATAATAATAATAATAGTTCTAATAATACTTCGAATAATAATAATAATTGTAGAGAGAGAGTTTTTTAGGAATACATGTGTTAATTGTATGCACGAGGCTTATAAACGAAAGAAAAGTGCAAAACTTGCCCAAGACACATCCGGTGTGGGTGGCGTGTGTGGGAGGCCCTTAGCAAAAACCCCTTTTCACCTGACCGCTGAGCTACCGTCGGGTCTCTATTTTAAGAGCAGGTAAACAGCAATAGATCCGGCCCTCAAGCGGCCTAATCGATACCCGGCCCTCACGGAATCGGTCCCTCGTTGTACAGCAATCGATCCTTCACACTGCCCGCGCTGCCAAACTTGCCGAGAATCGGTCCCCATGTTACCTGTGGCGCGAAGCTGATATGTCTCCCGCGCTCGGCGCGCCGACCGCGCAGCGGCGGCAGACCACCCTCCGGTTCGAGGGGCGCCTGGGGCTGAGCGGGCTGCCTCCGCCAGAGTTTGGCTCGCCCACCGGCGGGCTGTCACCCTGCCACGGGTCGCAAGCCCTCTGCCGGCCGGAGCGCAGGCTGCGCAGGCTTCCAGCAATTGGTCCCTTGGCAAGCGCGAATCGGTCCCCCTGGCTCCAGGAACTGATCCGGCACTACACCCGGATCTATTGCTGTTTACCTGCTCTTAAAATAGAGACCCGACGGTACGTGTGGGACGATGGTGTGGAACCTGATCTACACCTTAGCAAAACCCCCCCAAAGAGATGCTGCGCGCTTGTCACAACTCGTTTTCCGTTTCAATGCTCTCTTTATTTATTCAGGTAGACGCCCGAGGGTGGAGTGACGGCTAGGCACCACCCTGGTGATGTGTTTCTTACGAGAAAAAAGCGAAATTCTCGCGCCCGGCCACACATGCCCACACGCGCCTCTGATGAAGATCATGGGGCTCCTCTCCCTCAGCGCGGCCATTGCACGGAGGCCACTCCCGCTGCACAGACGGAGCCTGCCGCTCTCCACACAGGCGGCGACGCTGCTCAGCTCGTGGCCGCCCGCGCGTAGCCTGCCTCGTGCGCACGTCATAGCGGCGGCGGCCGTGCAGCGGCAGCCAACAGAGCGGGCGGAGTCGGCGAGCGCGGCCTCTTCCAGAGCTGCCGCGCTCGAGCCAGATGCGATGAGCGTGACTGGCGTCGTCAAGAAAGTGGTGTACCAAAAGGGGGGCTACTGCGTGCTGCGGCTCAAGCGGCCCAAGGGGTCGCGCCCGTCGGCGATGGTGCTCTGCGCCACCAACGGCACCCTCTCGGCCGCCACGGTGGGCGAAGAGCTCGAGGTGAGTGGCCGGATGGTCGTGCACGAACGGCGCGCCCTGCGGAGCGGGCCGCCGACCCGTGGAGAGAGAGTGGGAGAGGGCGTGTGGCTCGTGCGTGCGTAGGTACGGCCGCCAGCTCGCCGTCGAGCGGCTGGAGCGGGCGGTGCCGCCCACCGAGTCGAGCGGCGGCGCTGCCGCGCTCCTCTCGTCGGGCGCCTTCAAGGGTGTCGGGCCAAAGCTGGCCGCCGCCCTGACGACTGCCTTTGGGGACGAGGTGATCGGGATGATCCAGAGCGGCGACGAGCGGCTCCTGGCGGTGCCCGGCGTCGGGCCCTCGCGGCTCGAGAAGCTGCGCGCGTCGGCGGAGCGACACTTTGGCGCAGCCGGCAGGCACGGGGGCGTAGTCTGAATGGGTATGGCTGGTGCCGACGGCGGTTCATTCTCACGGCTGCGGGCGACGGGTAGGCACGAGGCGCTCTCCTTTGTGCTCAGCCTCGGCCTTAGTGGCGAGCAGGCGCAGCTCTCGCGGAGGCGCTGTCGACCCGCGGCGTGACGCGTCCATGACACGTCGGTGGCATGTCCGTGCCGAGCAGGCGCAGCTCGTCTACGACTCGCTCGGCGTCGACGCGCGCGCGCGGCTGGAGGCGCGGTCCTGGGGCAGGGAGGAGAGGGAGGGTGCGAGCGAGGAGAGGCGCCGATGCCCCCCCCCGGCTGCCCGCCGCAGGCGGACCCGTACCTCCTCCTCTCGCTGCTGCCCGGCACCGCCTTCCCTGCCGTCGACCGGCTCGCCCTCAGCCAGCTGGGCGCGAGGCTCGACTCGCCGCGCCGCGCCGCCGCCGCGATCGAGGCTTGCTTGCGGCAGAGCAGCAGCGACGGTGCCGAGAGACGCATCCCCTGGCGCGGCCGAGGTGCCCCACCCGAGGAGTGAGCACGGGAGTGCGTCGCGGACCAGGCGACTGCTATGCGCCGCGAGTGCTGCTGCTGAGCGCGGTGCAGCGGAGCCTCTCCGGCCCCGACTTTGCGTCGGGCAAGGCTCTCAAGCTCGCGCAGGCGAGAGACCGCCGGGAAGACCGCGAGAAGAGACCGCCGAGAGACCGCCGAGAGACCGCCGAGAGGTACCGAGCGTCCTCTCTCGCGCGCAGGCCGCCCTCGAGCGGATGCGCAAGGAGGGGCTGGTGCACGCCGACTACCCGCCCCCGGCGCAGGGCGGGGCCGGGGAGGCGGCGGAGGGGGCGGAGGCGGAGGGGGCGGGAGGGGGGGCGGGCGCTTCGCTGCGCGACCCCTCCCTCGCTCCGTACGTCTACCACCAGACCCTCGTGCGCGAGGAGGAGGCGGTGGCGATGGCGGTGCGGCGCAGGCTGCCGGCGAGGGAGCAGGCCGGCGCCGGCGAGGCCGCAGGGACAGGCGAGGCGGCGGGCGAGGCGGCGGGCCTCGAACACGCATTCGACGAGCGGCTCTCCACGGCGCAGTGCGAGGCGGCCGAGCGCCGCTCCTGCTTGGTGGCCTCCCCCTGACCCCCCCCGGGCCCTTCCCGCAGGCGCAGCGCGAGGCGGTCGCGCAGTGCGCCGCGATGGGCGCCGACGCGGCGGCGCACGGCAAGGACGGCCGGCTGGGCCGGCTGCTCGTGCTGACCGGAGGGCGCGGCAGCCTAGCCCGGGACTTGGCCCGTGACATCGTAGTGGGTGTCTTCCTGGCTCTCGGGATTGCGCGTGTTCTGCTGCATTCCATTCACGCCCCAGCACCCTGCCCGTGCACTCGTTGGCCCTCGGGTCCCCGCCCTCTACCTCGTGTCCACCCCGCAGGCCCGGCACCGGCAAGACGTTCTCCGTGCGCGAGGTCGTGCGCGCCTGGCGGCAGCAGGGCAAGCACGTGATGCTCGCCTGCCCGACTGCGCGAGCCGCCTCTGTGCTCTCTACGTCGGTCGGCCTCCCCGCGAGCACGATCCACCGGCTGCTCGAGTTCAACCCGCAGGAGAAGGCCTTCCGGCGCGACAAGCTCAACCCGCTGCCCGCCGACGCCGTCGTGATCGACGAGGCATCGATGCTCGACATCCACCTCGCCGCCCGCTTCCTCGAGGCGCTGCGCGAGGAGTGCGTCGTCCTCTTCGTGGGCGACGCGAACCAGCTCCCCTCGGTCGGCCCGGGCGCCGTGCTGCACGACTTGCTCGGCTCGCCGCGAGTGCCGCGCGTCGAGCTGAGCGGGATCTTCCGGCAGGAGCGGGACACCGCAGCCCCGAGCACACGCCACCCGCGCTCGCGCCGCCCCGGCCGCGCCCCTCGACTGCCTCCCTCTCTCCGCCCCCGCCTTGCAGGATCCGACGGGCGACATCGCGCGCAACGCGGTGCTCATCCACCGCGGCGGCGTCTGCTTCTCGGAACCGCCTCGGAGCCGTCTCTCGGAGCCTCTAGGCGCTCATCAACTGCGGCGTCGTCCCCTCGCACTGGAGGCGCGCGACGGCGGCGCAGCTCGACGGCATACTCGAGCCGCGACCGAGCGGCTGCCTGCTCGTGCCCGCGCGCAGCGCTGCCGAGGCCCAGCGCTTGCTGTGCGGCGACGTGTTGCGCTGGCTGCGCGGCGTCGGCTACAACTTGCAGGTGGCGGACCCGCGCCCTGCCAACGCACTCTCCCCGACGCTTCCACAACTCGCCCCGCTCCTCGCCCCGCTCCTCGCCCCGCTCCCGTGGCAACCCACCTCCCCCGCCCGCCCCTTACTCTCCCGCAGGAGGAGGTGCAGGTCCTCTCGCCCGTCAAGCGCGGCCCGGCCGGCACCGTGCAGCTCAACCAGAGGCTCAAGGGCGAGCTCAACCGGCGCTCGCGCGCCGCGCCGCCGGACGGCGCCGCGCCCGACGCCGCCACGAGCGACTCGGAGGCGGACGTGCGCGTCACCATCGGCGATCACGTCATCCAGCTCAAGAATGACTACGACTCGCAGGTCTTCAACGGCGACAGCGGCGTCGTGTGCGCCGTGCGGCCCGAGGGGCGGTCGTACTCGTTCGTGGTCGAGTTCGACGCGCGCAAGGGGCCGACGCCGCTCGGCGAGGAGAGCGAGCCGGTGCGTGTCGTGTACCCCCGCTCCGCGCTCGGCAAGACGGTCTCACTCGCCTACGCGCTGACGGTGCACAAGTCGCAGGGGTCGGAGTACGAGGTCGTTTGCATGCCCGTGCTGCGCGAGCCGCCGCACCCGTACATGCTCTTCCGCAACCTGCTCTACACGGGCCTCTCGCGCGCCAAGCGACTGCTCGTCGTCGTCGGCACTGAAGATGCGATCGCGAACGCCGTCGCAAACCAGAAGGCGCAAGCGCGACGCACGATGCTCCGGCAACGCATTAGCAACGACGCCTTTGCGCCTCCCACCACCAGGCATTTGTGACCATGTGAGCCGGGCGTGTGTGTCCGCAGTATATTTGAGTATACTCATTTGCATGCCAAACGTACCCCTGTACTTTACGAGGATGGGTGTTTACTGTTATCTGTTTTGCCTCTCCGGAGGCGGAGCTGGGGTCCTCCTCGCGCGTGTCTCGACGCGCGTGTGTGTTGTTCTCCGGGAGCACACGGCGATCACTTTAGCTCCGTCTTCCGAGGCCGCCCACTTCTCATGCCGTGGCTTCCGGCCCAAAACTCGGCCGCGTAGTCGGCATCGGCCCCAGCATTCCCGGGCGAGCAGGAGCGCAGCAGCAAACCGACGGTGACGCCAACCACAACGCCAACCGACGCCCCTCCCAAGGCGACAAGAAAATAGTCGTACGCGTACTCGTTCCCCAGCCACGCCAAGGCCAAGCCGGCACCAAGTCCTCCTCCTGCCTTGTAGATGCCGTACGCTGAAAGCCCACCCACGCCTCCGACCGCGCCCAGCATGAGCGATCCCTCGGTGACGGCGGCACGCACGCACGTCCCAGGAATTAGGCTCATCATCACCGAGGGCATCAAACAAGTGGCGGCGAGATTGCTTGTAAGAAAGAGGGAGAGGACGGGTACCGAGGCGCAGGCGACGAGCAGGAGCGCAGCGTTGCAGAGAACAACGCACGCGCGCGTCGTCCAGAGCGGGCGTCCGCGCAAGAGCGACGAGCCAACCGTGGCAGCGATCGCGTTTTGCATCGAGTCGGCAGCGCCGGCGCTCATAATGCAGGCGCAAAGCATCGACAGGTAGCCTGGGAGGTTGGTGAGGCTCGCGATCGGGCTATCGTTAAAGATGGCAAAAAAGTAGAGGTTCATGTTTGTTTCAGCGGTTGCCTTGCCCGACCAGACTGCGAGGAAACCCACGAAGCCGAAGAAGAATATGACCGCGGCCACCGCAAAACCAGCAGTCCAAGCCGCGCGGGCCATTGCGCGGCGCTCCTCGATCGCCCATACCCGTTGCCACATCGCCTCAGAAAACAGGGCGCCGCCGACAAGGAGGCCGAGCGGCATGGTGAGGATGGAAGAGTACCCAGAATAGGTGTAGCCCTTGAGCTCAGGAGAGAGCGGCGGGAGCCCATCCCACGGGACGACGCTAGCAGTGAACACAAGCAAGACTCCGACCAAGGAGAGGGCAGCGATGGCCTGAAGGCGGTCCGTCATGATGGAAACGAAGAGCCCTCCTGCGATGGTGTAGGCGAGAGTGGCCAGCGCCATGGCGATGAGCAGGCAGAGAGCAATACGAAAAGGGAGCCCGCTGTAGGACCGGAGGAGTTCGAGAAATGTGGTGTATTCGGCGGCGAGTGCGACGCACATATTGAACAGGTTCATCGTAACAGCAAGCCCCTGTGCCAACCGGCCCGAGGCGGCTGCTCGTCCGCTGAAGCGCCGACGCATAAAATCGGGCAAAGAACACGCTTCAGGGTAAAGAGCACGAGCCGCTCCGCCGATGTACGCCATGCTCACCACCGCCCCTCCACAGGCAACAGCATACATGATTACGCCGAGCAACCCGGCAAACGACCCATAGCTGGGAGGTGTTACCAGGCACCACGATCCCATGCTAGTTGCGAACCACGAAAAGGCGATGGATAAGGAGGACACCCGTCCTCGCGCGGTGATGAATTCCTCCGGAGATAGTTCCGCGGTGAGCCGCTTGCGGCGTTTATAGTCCAGATAGCTTATTGTGATCGCATAGCAGAGCAGGGTGAGCAGGACCACAACGACGCCTCGAACGGTCGCGGCTCTCCATGGATCGCTCGAATCCCACAGCATCCCCACGGTAGCGGCAGCGCTGTCTGGTAGCCCCAGCCGACTCCGCTGTGAACCTCGCGGGAGCTCGGATCTTGCGGACCAATAGCAGACAGGCGACAGCGGCACTGGAGCGGAGATCGTAAGTTTGTCGACGAGGACGGCCGACGGAGGGAGGGTCCCCGCGACTTTTTGTGATATAGGCGTATCTCTGGCACCCATAGCAGGGTGGCGGCGCCGCGCGTTCTGATCACTTGATGGTGTTCGCATATACGTGTACCTTAAGTTTCTCCGAGACCTCGCGAGCGGGCAGGTATTAACACCCCGGCAGTGTGGTTTGGGCAGGGCAGGGCAGTGTGGGTTTCACACCCGGGGCAGGTAGGGGATCGGGCAGGGCAGTTGTGCGGCAGTGTGCGGGCAGGGCAGTACGGCAGGGCAGGGCAGGGCAGGGCATGGCAGTTGGGGTCATAATTGCAGGGCTGAGATTCGGGATCTCAGGTGGTGAAAAAAAAGGGGGAGACAATTGCTGTGAACATGGAATTTGAATAACAATCTCAATGAGATGTGTGAAGAGGACGGCCGATCGACGAAACACATGCGCGAGCTTGCGAGCTCATCTACATCTCAATCAAATCTCAGGGGGGCGCCGTGCGGTGTATCTTTTGATGCGTGACACTGCACACGGGGCCTCGTCGTCCTCCGAGCTCCGTCTCGGAGTCGTCCAGCGTGCGCCGACGACGACGCCGACAGGGATGGTCATCGAGCCTCGAGGGCCGCGACCCGGTTGGTGTATGGTGGAGGCGGCTGGCGGAGAGGCGCTCGGCCTCCCGAAGTCCCGTCCGAATCGAGGGCACATATACCTTATACGTATTTGGGGGAGGGTGCCGCACGCCGGACGCCACTGAGGGACCCAGGAGGGCATGCAAGAAAGTCGAGATGATGTAATATAGTATATAGACAAGACAAATCTGCGAACACTGTCTACCCAAAAGACGCAAGAGTGCCTGCCTGTCTCGGGTGTCTGCTCGAGTTCCCCGCGCGTGCCCTGGGCGCTAGTGAAATCGGCATTCGCCATTGCCACAATGGAGGAGCGCTTCGCGCCAGGCCAGCGGCGAACGGCTCGGGTTCGTGGCCCGTCCTGCGCGCGTGGAAGGCGTATCCTTCACGCGTCGCGCCTGCGGAAGCAGTAGATGTAGCCGAGCTCGAGGGGCGGCGCCTCCGACACGGCAACCTTCCGGTCGTTGTGTAGCACCCAGCGGCCATCCTTCTTGAGGTGGCACACATAGTGGCCGCACGACGTGTTCGAGCCCATGTGCGATATGAAGCCAACCAAGTCGTACTCCCCCGGCCCATCATCCTCCGCCGCCGCCGCGCCACCGCCACCGCCGCCGCCGCCGCCCTCGCCGAGAGCGGCCGCGACGGCGCTCTCGAGGTCGTCGGTCCTGGAGAAGAGCCAGTCGGCCGCGCGCTCAACTGCGCCGCCCGTCGCTGCCAGCGCGCCGCGCGCCTGCCGCTCGGTGAAGCCCATGGCCGAAAGCATCTCGATCGCCTCCGGGCTCGCCTCGGGGCCGCCTCCGCCGCCTCCGCCGCCGGCCTGCCCGCTGCTCCCTGGCGGCGGGAGGGGGTCGTTGAAGTCCGCGTCCTCCATGTGCGCGAAGACCCACTCCGTCGCCGCCTCCGGCGAGCTGTTCGAGACGGCGAGCGCGGCGCGGCGCGCGCCATTCTCCGAGAAGCCCATCGAGACGAGCTGCGCGACGATGGCCTCATCCGGCTGCGGCGAGGCGGCCGGCGCCGGCGCCGGCGCCGGCTCGTTCGGCTCGTCGGGGAGGGGCGACTCGCCCGGCTGCAGCCCGCCGCCGCGGAAGGCCTCGAGGGAGAGAGTCTCCGGCACGGGCACCGCCACCGCCATCTTCTTGGCCGTCCAGTCGGCGTCGGTGTAGTAGCGGGAGAGCTGCACGACGAGCACGCGCGGGAAGGTGGCGAAGCGGGTCGTCTTGGCGGCGCCGGCGTGGCCGCGGAAGTTCTCGAGCGTCTCGACGGCGAGGTAGCGAGAGAGGCACGCCTGCGCGGTGCGGAGGCGGAGGAGGCGCGGCCGTGACGGCGCGTGTGTGATGCTGCGCCTGCCGCCTCGGGCGTGTGTGTCCGCGCGCTCGTGAGCCCCGCCCGAGACAGTGCCGATGCGACGGTCAAGGGTGGAGGCGTGCGCTCATCCCGCCCTCACAGGGGGGCCCGGGCGCCTCGAAAGAGACGAGCGGCACGACGGGGTCGTCGGGCGGAGGCGCCGCCGCCGGGTCGAGCTTTTGCCGCTTGTCCTCCTTGGCCTCGTGCGCCGCAACCTCCGCGGCGTTGGAGGCGAGCTCGAGCGGGATCTGGAGCGAGAGCGCGCTGCCCGGCACTCGCTTGTAGGCAACCTGCGGGAGGGGTGGCGGGGAGGGGGAGGGGGGGGGGGGGGCCGGAACAGGGGGTGAGGAAGGGGGGGGGGGGGGGGGCCTTTGAAATTCCCCCCGGGTTGGGAGTTCCCCCCCGGGGAACCTGCCCGGGGGCCTTAACCCGTTCCTCGAGGGAAAAGGAGGAAAGTTCCCCCAGGGCCGGGACCCCTTTCCCCAACCGGGCGCCCGGGGGGGTTTTGGTGCGGCCAAATCCTCCAAAGAGGGGGCGGAGGTACTCGGCGGCGTCCTGCTGGCGCGAGGAGGAGAACTCGCTGTGCCCCTTGCCGACGAGGGAGATGAGCATGCGCGGCGCCACCGCAGCCTCGGGCGCCGGCCCCTCCTCCCCGCCCTCCGGAACGGGCGGCGGCGGCGGCGCGCCGTCGCCGCCCGGGTTGTACCGGTCGCCGAGCAGTGCGCCTCCCAGCTTTGCGAGCTGCGAGGGCAGGTCGCCGGTTGGGTCGGAGGGGGCGGTCGCGAAGATGGCTGGCGCGGCGGGGTGCAGGGTCTGGTACTCGGGCAGCGTGAAGAGGAGCTGGAGGACCGAGTTGACGTAGCACGAGTTGCCGAGGTTGTTGAGCCCGAGGTAGCCGCGGCTGGTGAGTGGCGCGAGGTCCTTGCCCGCCTCGGTGATCTTGTCGAGCTCGAGCGACTCGTTCGCCGCGATGTTCATCTCGGTCACCGACTGCGCCGTCTTCTCCATCCTCATCACGTCGATGCCTACAGGAGGGGCCCGAGAAGCCTCCCGCAAGGCCAAGGCAGGCCTCCTCCTCCGCCGGGGCTGCGTCGCTGCCCCAGTGCGCCAGGTGCTCCGCCAGCTTCGGGTCGGTCACCTCCGAGTTCTCGTCGTCGGCGTAGGAGTAGACGTCGGCGCCGTGCGGCGTGATTGTGCCCAGCTTGACCACGAGCGGGAAACCGTGCGGCGGGAAGTGCTTCTTGGTCTCCTCGTAGTGGTTCAGCGCGCCGTTCGTGCCGCCCGACCCGTCCCACTGGCGCCGCCCCGAGCCGATGTGGCCGTCGGAGAGGTTGAGCCAGAGGTTCTCGCGCATGCCCGACTCCTCGCACACCCACGCCGCCGGGTCGGGAGAGATCTTCTTGTGCGGCGGCAGCTGCACCAGCTCCTCTGCGTACTTAGAGGGCAGAGTCTCCGCCTCCCACGCGACAGCGCTCTCCTTCCGCTGCTGCATCGCGCCGACGTGCGTGACGATCGCCTGGCAGCACGTCGACACAAACTCGGGGAGCTCCTGGCACGGGAGCGGCACGCGCTCCCCCGACGGCATCAGCACCAGCGCAGCCTCGGTCGACTCGTCGTACTGCGGGCCGTCGACGCTGAAGCCGCCCTCGACGCCGAGCGCCATTTTGGTCGGCGCGGCGTCGGGTGCGTCGCTCTTGGGCCGCAGCGTGCGGCGCTTCTGCAGGTGCACGTACAGCGTCTCGCCGCTCCTCATCGACGCCGCCTGCACGTGCTGCGCTCCAAAGCCGAGGTAGGTGCGCAGCGAGACGTAAAGGCCGCCCGGCGAGAACGGGCTGTCGAAGCTGAGCACGCACTCGTCGTTGTACACCTTGTCGTACTCGGTGGCCGGCACCAGGCCGCGCATGCTCGCACGGACACGATCGAGGAGCGCCTCCATAAACACACCGGGGTGTTGGCGATGATGAGATCGCGTTTTTCTTTTTTCCCTAGCTCTTAGAGATAAAAGGAGGAGGGAGAATTGCATGGAGAGCAGTGTATGCAGGCGTCGCCTCTAATCGCCCGAAAGAAACACTTCTTAAAGAGGGCCGCCAAGACTCCTCTGGTGCGCCATGGCAAAGTCCAAGGCGCCCGCCGCGAAGCCTCAGCAGCTCACCATCGCCAAGAAGATGGCTTCGACGCGCAAACCGGGGCAGGTCGCCAGGGGCCAGCCGCGGAAGCTCGCAGCGCCGAAGCCGCAACAGGTGAGCCAAGGCGCCGGCGCCGGCGGGCACACGATCATGCTGCTGCAGGAGACGAAGAATTTGGCGACCCGGACGTGGTCGGAGCACCCTACGCTGCGCCAGGCCCTCGACTACTTTGTCTCGTCGTACGAGCGGCAGCTCAAGGCGCTCAACCCGCAGGCGCGCGAGCTGTCGTACACGGTGGAGGATCTGCACGTCTACATTGACAGCATGGCCGACCTGTCGGCACTCATCTTCGCGCCCGCCACAAAGCACTACATGCCGCGCAACAAGACCTACCTCAAGCAGCAGCTGCTGCTGCAGCTGCAGTCTGCGGCGCGATAGGTGCCCAGCGAAAGAGATTGCGTGAGCGCCGCCGGTGGCGCGGCCGGCTGCAAGCCTCCACGACGACGGCTGCCGCAGCACCGCCGAGGACTAGCTTTATATTCTGTACACGTACCATGCTCAGGAGGAGGAAGCCAGTGTGCAGTGCCGCACTGGCACACTGCGCACACTGGTGTGTGGGGCGCGGTCCGCCGGCAGGTCCGGCCTCGTGGTGCCTTATTCGGCCCTGTGAGAGCGGGTATTTAGCGCGCCCCCGTCTCCGCGCGGTCTAGTCATGCGTGGTTTCTCTTCGGGTAGAGACTAGAGTCATATCCCCAATCAGAGAACAAAAGTGTACCAAGCACAGCGGGATGAATTCTTTTCTATAAAAATGGCTGCACGCCGACGCCGCGCCGCTGCTGCCCCGCCACAGACACCAGATGCGAAGGCGCCGCGATCGTCCTCCGCCGGGCATCTGCCGCGACCTTACCGGCCGAGACTCGCGCTGCTGCTGCCGCCGCTGCTCGCCGTGCGCCTTTACGGTGCTCTCGCTTCGCCGATCACTGACTGCGACGAAGCCTTCAACTACTGGTCGCCGTTTGCGTTGAATCAACAGGCCCGTCGCAGAGTACGCGCTCTCACTGTCCTCCCACTGCGGTGCAGGGAGCCGCTGCACTACCTTCTGTACGGTCGCGGGCTGCAGACGTGGGAGTACAGCCCAGTGTTTGGGCTCCGCTCCTACGCCTACCTGGCCATGCACGCCGCCTTTGCCCGGCTCGCCTCCTCGGTGCTGCGCAGCAAGGTCTCGGTGTTCCTCGCCGTGCGGTGCGCGCTCGGCTGCACCTCGGCCGTCCTCGAGGCTCGACTTGCCGCCCGCACCTGTGCCTGGGCGAGCGGCGAGGCGGGGGTCGCTCTGTGGGCTCTGCTGCTGAGCAGCGCGGGCATGTGGCACGCCGCGGTCGCGCTGCTCCCCTCCTCCTTCGCGATGCTCTGCGTCCTCGCCGCGTGGACCGCTTGGATGGACGCCTCCCTCCCAGCCCTCCCAGCCGGCTCGCCGCCCGCGGACCGCAGCGTCCGCAAGGCGTACGGCGCCGCAATCTTTTGGGTGAGCGCTGTTCCCGCCCGCCCACCGCTCCACGGCGGGCGTGTCGCGGGCTCGCTGCTCAGCCCCCCCCTCCCTCCCCCCCTCGCCGCCTTCGCACAGGTTGCGGCCGGCTGCCTGCTCGGCTGGCCCTTTCTGTGCGTCCTCGCCGCGCCGCTGGCGATTGACGCCGTCGTGGCGCTCGGGCTGCGCCGGTTCGTCGCGCGCGCGCTGCTCGCGGGCGCGCTGCTCGCCGCACCCTCCGCGGCGGTCGACGGCTACTACTACGGCCGTTTCGTCCTCCCCTGGCTCAACTTGCTGTTGTACAACCGCTCCGCCGCCTCCGGGGAGGCGCGAGAGGGCGAGAGAGGAGCCCGAGAGGAGGTAGCCGAGGCTGCACACCCCGTCCGTCGTGGCTCGAGGCCGCACCGGCGATGGGCCGTCTCTCCCTCTCCTCTCGCCCTTGCCCTCTCGCCCTCTCATCACCCACACTCGCCCTCTCGCCCTCTCACTCAGGGCTCGCAGCTGTACGGCGTCGAGCCGTGGTGCTTTGCCGCAATGCAGCCTCGGCCCACTCCCTCCCCGCCGACGCGTCCTCGACGGCCCGTCCCGCAGGCACTTTTACCTCCGCAACTTGTGCCTCAATCTCAACCTCGCCCTCCCCGCGCTGCTCCTCGCGCCGCTCCTCCTCCTCGCCGGCCGCCTCGTGCCGGCTGCTGCAGGAGAGCCGCCTCCCCGGCCCGGCCGCGCGGCGGTGCTGCTGAGCGGCGGCTACCTCTGGCTCGCATTCTACTCCGCCATACCCCACAAGGAGGAGCGCTTCCTCTTCCCCGCGTACCCCCTCTTCCTCCTTGCCGCCGCCCTAGCCGCCAGCGAGGCGCGCCGCGTCGCCGCCGCGCTGCTCGCGCGGTGCGCCCCACGGCGCGCGCAGCGTGGCAGGGAGGGCGGGCCGCACGGCGTTTGGCCTCCCCTCTGGGGCTTGCCTGCGGCCGCTCTCGCCGCGTCGGCTCTCCTCTCGGCGGGGCGCGTCGGCGCACTCGTCTCCTACTACGGCGCGCCGCTCGAGGTCTACTCCGAGGTGAGCGCGGCCCTCTCGAGCCGCGCAGACGACTCGCCGCTCCGTGTGTGCAGCGGCAAGGAGTGGTATCGGTGCGGCTCGCCCCCTCGCCGCCGCGCCGTGCCACCTCCACGCGGCGCCGCGAGCACGCCACGCCTCGCGTCGGCCGCCCAGGTACCCCTCGTCCTTCTTCCTCCCGCTTGGCGCCACGCCCGCCTTCTACCGCGCGGGCTTCGACGGGCTGCTGCCGTCGCCATTCTCAGCCCCACCCCCCGACGGATCACGCGCCATCCACGCTCATTTCAACGACGGCAACCGCGACGAGCCCGCCGCCTACACCAGCGAGGACCGCTGCGACGTGATCGTCGATCTTGAGCTCCCGGGCGACGCTGCTCCGCGCTCGCGGGCCGGGTGGCACGTCTGGGCGCGCCGCCCGTTCCTGGACGCGGATCGCTCGCCAAGTTGGTCGCGCGCGCTCTACGTGCCTTGGCTCACCGCGGGGCGAAACGTGTACGCGAATTATTCCGTGCTCGGCCGCCAGCCGCTCATGGTCATGCTTCATGGTTCGGTATAGCTGTCGTCGCGCGACTGCGCGGTGAACGTGAACAAGCGAAAACGAGATGGCACAGTGGCCAGAGAGGCCGTCGGTGAGATGGCTTTTGTCCTGAAAAAGGGTAGGGTTCACACAGTTTAGATCAGTACACTGGTCTGGTTGGGCAGCCTGGTTAGAAGTTCTAAGCCTCGAGACTTAAAACGGGTTCAAGTGTGGAGAGACCTCGGTGTCACGCGCTCGCTACAACTGTCAACTGTATGGAGGTGTGGTGGTCACGCTGGGGTGCTCCCGCGCCGAGGGGTGCTTTCGCGGTCTAAGCGATCCGCTGGAGCCTGCCTCTTTTGCGGGCTAAGTCGGCCGTGGCACGGCCGTGGTGACCTAGAGGCTCACCGTGATCGTTAGGGTTGCCTAAAATTTTTCTTCGCCTGTGCGGCGGGCCAGCTGTTGTACAAAAAGTGGTGCGCGACTTGCGCACGGGGGCTGAGAGGAGGGCATGCGCGGCAAATAAATAAAGAAAAAACGGACACCTCTACTGTGAGGTGGGTAAAAAGGAACAGGTCCCCGCCCTTGCGATCTTTGTGCAGGGTTCTTTGTTATGCGCGGCAAAGTGGCGATGGCGCTGTTAGGTTTTGGACCCATGGGATCCAGCGTTTACACTTTTTGCCGGACGCCTGGGACGAAAAACGACAACGCACCAGTGGCATCTGCCTGAGAACGCGAGTTTGAATCGTAGGAGGCCACCTAGAGCAAAAATTGAGCCCGCTCAGATGTGAACAAAAAATTGGTGGGGTCAACCCGTGCACGGCTACGTGATGGTGCCGCGCAATGTGGTCGGCCGGCTGATTGGCAAGGGCGGCACCAACGTCAAGATGCTGCAGCGGCGCGCGCCACGGCCGAGAGCAGCCCTCTGGCCATGACACCCCAAGACAACAACAACAGTCGACTTCGAACCGGGGGCCACTCGATTGCAGAGAGGTCCCTAACCGACGTTGGCTGGATAGATTATGGCTGAACTGGAAGCGTTCAAGCGGCGGCCCATACGCGTAGCACATTACCGGGGGAATTACGCTAGAGCGAGGTAAGCACATTACGCTAGAGACAGAACCCAGAGATACATACGTCAAAGGGACTGCCCCCCTCCCCCACCTGCCCTGCTTACACAGGGATCAGGGTAGCATGCCCCGAGGACGGCGACATTTGGCAGTCCCTTTGACGTATGTATCTCTGTGGGTTCTGACTCTAGCGTCGGAGGCAAGGGCGAAGCTAAGAATATTTAATTTAGAGACCCCCGGATCTGGCCGCCTCGTGTCGTCAAGTTCGTCCGTAAGCTCCGTCCTCCGATCAACAGCGTCTAAGTTTGAGCCCGTTCCCTTCCGGGGGCTAAGTTCAGCGCTCGTCTGCGAGCAGGTCTAAGTTTTGGGCAACCCTCTACCCCTATACTACCTAATCATGATCAGTATTGTGGCTCACGGGGGGCACACACATCTTCACACTGCGCTAGGAGCTCAAGAGTCCTCTCTCGGTTGCCTCTAGCTCGTGAGTCTCTCACTCTCCTGAGAGGACACGCACACCACTCACCAGCAGCGCCCCCGCAGCAATAATATCTGCAGCACCCCGCAACGCGAGGTAAGCGACGCAACGCATACTTGAGGTGCGCCACATTTAGCTTTATCTCCAGAGAGGAACGTAGAGGATAGAGGGAAAAAACGAACCGGCAAACGGCCTGTACACTACTTTTGTGTCTCTACTCTCTGCTGGAGATTATATCTCAAACATCCAACATGCAAAAAGAACAACGCCATAACTCTGAGGCTGGTACAGCCGCGGGCTAACTCTGAGAGTGTTGAGATATAGACGACTGCGGAGCCGGAAGGGCCGAGCCGCGCTGCATAAGGAGCTGCTGCTTTGAGGGCGATGACGTCCAAACGTTTGACAGGTCATTGACAGCCCCAGCCTCAGCCTCGGCATGGCCATCGGTTAGCAGGCCGTCATCGGAGGCTTCAGCTAGAGGAGTCGCATCGAACCGCGAGAATGCGAATTCTGTCGCGTATGGGGAGCCGACTTCATACAGCGATGCGTTACCTTCTATTGCGCCCTCAGCCATGGCCGTCGTCGTAAAGTGGCCTGAAACCGGGTAGACGTCGATCTTCCCCCACAGGGGGCCTGGATGAGAGTAGGACTGCCCAAAGATACCGTGCGGCCGATTGCGCGCCGCCCAGTCGCTTTGAACGCGAAAACTGACGTCCACCCTGTGGCCTGGACCCATCGTCGCACGGCTGTGCTCTCCTCTCGCAGTAATGACCCAGTCTTCAGCGGCGAAGGTGGCTGTCGCCATAACCACAGATACCACTAGCTCCTCACAGGTCTTTCTGCCACCCTTGCCAATCTTGAAGAGACGCCCACCGCAGTACCCCGAAACCACCGACCAGCCCCAGTTATTTTCGTCCAGCTCCGAGGCCCGGTACGAGACGTTTAACCACTTGCGTTTGAGACGGCTACCGCCCGAGCCCATCCCTGGGTTGTTGTGCCCCCCGCCTGCGCCGACAATCGTAGCCAGGTGAACCTCGGTGATATAGCTACCGTCGACGATCAGGGTGTTGGCCTTACGTCGCAAGGGAAAGGTCGCATTCTCCGTCTTGACATTCACTGCGATGCCCGGAGCCGAGAAAAAATTATACAGCTGCCCGTGCCTACCACGGAAGTCAGCGCGGCCGCCATGCGCAAAGAAGAGATGTGGGTCCTGCATAACACCCAGAGGCGGCGGGAGCGAGGGCAACAATGGAGGCGGTGGGGATGGCAAGGGTGGTGGTAGTGAAGGAGGCGGTGGTGCGGGTGGCGGCGGCGCAGGGGGCGGTGGTCCGGGCGGCGGTGGTAAGGGCGGCGGCGGTGAGGGCAGTGGCGGCGTGGGAGGTGATGACGGAGGTGGCATGTGGCCGGTAAACGCGTCCAGATCCGTCACCACGCCTCCGGGCGGAACCTCGAAGGTAGTGGACGCGGTGCCGAGAGTCTGCCTCAGCGGCGGCTTGTTCAGCAGAGCAAAAGAGCGTTCATCGATGACCACGGTCCACTTGCCCGGCGACGGCAGCTCGTGACTGTAGTAGCCGTTCGCGTCGGTGACGACGGTGTACGTGACGTCTCCGTTGGTGATGAAGACGGTCACGCCTTCGAGGTACTCGTCGACGCCTTCCGTGAACTGCTGGTCATCGCCTTTGTCCTCAAAGACGTAGCCCTCGATCATCGGGGGCGGCGGCGAGGGAGGCGGTGGCAATCGCGGACCAGGCGATATCGGGGCCGGGCTTGGAGAGGGCGGTGGGGGCGAGGGCGGGGGCGGAGAGGGAGGGGGCGGCGGCGACGGTGGCGGCGGAGAGGGGGGCGGTGGCGGCGGTGACGGCGACGGCGGTGGCGGTGCGGGGGGTGGTGGAGAGGGGGGCGGTGGCGGCGGTGGTGACGGCGGCGGTGAGGGCGGGGGCGAGGGCGGCGGCGGCGGCGGTGGGGGCGGTGGGGATGGTGGGGGCGGCGAGGGCGGTGGTGGCGGCGGTGGTGAGGGCGACGGCGGCAGTCGCGGACCAGGCGATATCGGGGCCGGGCTTGGAGAGGGCGGTAGGGGCGAGGGCGGGGGCGGAGAGGGAGGGGGCGGCGGCGACGGTGGCGGCGGAGAGGGGGGCGGCGAGAAGTGGGTGAAGGCGTCCAGGTCTCTCCCCACGCCCCCGTATGGCACGAACACAGCCGTGGCAGTGCTGCCCAACGTCTGCACGAGCCCGGGCGGCAGCGTGGACGTGAGAATGGTGACGGTCCACTCGCCGTAAAGAAGCTCCTTTTCGTAGTACCCGTCGTCGTCTGTAGTGACGATGTACCTGCCACCTTTGCCGTCGGTAAGTTCGACCTTCACGCCTTCGAGGCCCTCGTCGCTACTGGGATCGAAGACGCCGCTGGCCTTTGAGTCTAGAAATACCCGGCCGGCCAATCGTGAGGGCTGCGTGAAGGCGTCCAGGTCCGTTACCACGCCTCCGGGCGGAACCTCGAAGGTAGTGGACGCGGTGCCGAGAGTCTGCCGCAGCGACGGCTTGTTCAGCAGAGCAAAAGAGCGTTCATCGATGACCACGGTCCACTTGCCCGGCGACGGCAGCTCGTGACTGTAGTAGCCGTTCGCGTCGGTGACGACGGTGTACGTGACGTCTCCGTTGGTGATGAAGACGGTCACGCCTTCGAGGTACTCGTCGACGCCTTCCGTGAACTGCTGGTCATCGCCTTTGTCCTCAAAGACGTAGCCCTCGATCATCGGGGGCGGCGGCGAGGGAGGCGGTGGCAATCGCGGACCAGGCGATATCGGGGCCGGGCTTGGAGAGGGCGGTGGGGGCGAGGGTGGGGGCGGAGAAGGAGGGGGCGGCGGCGACGGTGGCGGCGGAGAGGGGGGCGGTGGCGGCGGTGACGGCGACGGCGGTGGCGGTGCGGGGGGTGGTGGAGAGGGGGGCGGTGGCGGCGGTGGTGACGGCGGCGGTGAGGGCGGGGGCGAGGGCGGCGGTGGCGGCGGTGGGGGCGGTGGGGATGGTGGGGGCGGCGAGGGCGGTGGTGGCGGCGGCGGCGAGGGCGAAGGCGGCAGTCGCGGACCAGGCGATATCGGGGCCGGGCTTGGAGAGGGCGGTGGGGGCGAGGGCGGGGGCGGAGAGGGAGGGGGCGGCGGCGACGGTGGCGGCGGAGAGGGGGGCGGCGAGAAGTGGGTGAAGGCGTCCAGGTCTCTCCCCACGCCCCCGTATGGCACGAACACAGCCGTGGCAGTGCTGCCCAACGTCTGCACGAGCCCGGGCGGCAGCGTGGACGTGAGAATGGTGACGGTCCACTCGCCGTAAAGAAGCTCCTTTTCGTAGTACCCGTCGTCGTCTGTAGTGACGGTGTACCTGAGATCGTTGCCGTTGGTGAGTTCGACCTTCACGCCTTCGAGGCCCTCGTCGCTACTGGGATCGAAGACGCCGCTGGCCTTTGAGTCTAGAAATACCCGGCCGGCCAATCGTGAGGGCTGCGTGAAGGCGTCCAGGTCCGTTACCACGCCTCCGGGCGGAACCTCGAAGGTAGTGGACGCGGTGCCGAGAGTCTGCCGCAGCGACGGCTTGTTCAGCAGAGCAAAAGAGCGTTCATCGATGACCACGGTCCACTTGCCCGGCGACGGCAGCTCGTGACTGTAGTAGCCGTTCGCGTCGGTGACGACGGTGTACGTGACGTCTCCGTTGGTGATGAAGACGGTCACGCCTTCGAGGTACTCGTCGACGCCTTCCGTGAACTGCTGGTCATCGCCTTTGTCCTCAAAGACGTAGCCCTCGATCATCGGGGGCGGCGGCGAGGGAGGCGGTGGCAATCGCGGACCAGGCGATATCGGGGCCGGGCTTGGAGAGGGCGGTGGGGGCGAGGGCTGGGGGCGGAGAGGGAGGGGGCGGCGGCGACGGTGGCGGCGGAGAGGGGGGCGGTGGCGGCGGTGACGGCGACGGCGGTGGCGGTGCGGGGGGTGGTGGAGAGGGGGGCGGTGGCGGCGGTGGTGACGGCGGCGGTGAGGGCGGGGGCGAGGGCGGCGGCGGCGGCGGTGGGGGCGGTGGGGATGGTGGGGGCGGCGAGGGCGGTGGTGGCGGCGGTGGTGAGGGCGACGGCGGCAGTCGCGGACCAGGCGATATCGGGGCCGGGCTTGGAGAGGGCGGTGGGGGCGAGGGCGGGGGCGGAGAGGGAGGGGGCGGCGGCGACGGTGGCGGCGGAGAGGGGGGCGGCGAGAAGTGGGTGAAGGCGTCCAGGTCTCTCCCCACGCCCCCGTATGGCACGAACACAGCCGTGGCAGTGCTGCCCAACGTCTGCACGAGCCCGGGCGGCAGCGTGGACGTGAGAATGGTGACGGTCCACTCGCCGTAAAGAAGCTCCTTTTCGTAGTACCCGTCGTCGTCTGTAGTGACGGTGTACCTGAGATCGTTGCCGTTGGTGAGTTCGACCTTCACGCCTTCGAGGCCCTCGTCGCTACTGGGATCGAAGACGCCGCTGGCCTTTGAGTCTAGAAATACCCGGCCGGCCAATCGTGAGGGCTGCGTGAAGGCGTCCAGGTCCGTTACCACGCCTCCGGGCGGAACCTCGAAGGTTGTGGACGCGGTGCCGAGAGTCTGCCTCAGTGGCGGCTTGTTCAGCAGAGCAAAAGAGCGTTCATCGATGACCACGGTCCACTTGCCCGGCGACGGCAGCTCGTGACTGTAGTAGCCGTTCGCGTCGGTGACGACGGTGTACGTGACGTCTCCGTTGGTGATGAAGACGGTCACGCCTTCGAGGTACTCGTCGAGGCCTTCCGTGAACTGCTGGTCATCGCCTTTGTCCTCAAAGACGTAGCCCTCGATCATCGGGGGCGGCGGCGAGGGCGACGGCGGCAGTCGCGGACCAGGCGATATCGGGGCCGGGCTTGGAGAGGGCGGTGGGGGCGAGGGTGGGGG